TGCATCTGGGAAGGTCACAAACATGATAACTACAGATGCTAATGCGCTTCAGGTATACTAAAAAGTTCCATCTTCTTTCTCAGCTATGGATTTGTAACTTCTAACATAAGTCTCCTGATTTTTCCAGCTAATAACAGAACAGCTCCATGGCATATGGTCAGCTCCTTTTCGCATCATTGTGTCTATGATTCTTCTCTATCAACAACTAGGAGTTGCTTCACTTTTCGGTTCATTGATTCTGTTCCTTATAATTCCTCTCCAGGTGTTTATCTTCACTCTGTTCTTTTAAAACTTACAAGCTGTGGTAATTGCAGAATTTTACATACAAGGCCTCCTATTCTGTTTCTTGATAAACAGACTATGATCATAAGCAAAATGCGGAAACTGACTAAAGAAGGACTTCAGTGGACTGACAATAGAGTCGGTATCACGAATGAGATTTTGGCATCCATGGATACTATAAAGTATGATAGACTTAACCATTCCTCTTTCATAGCACATTCTTGAAGCAGTGTCATGGAATTTTGCAACTTTGCTAGATGTTATGCATGGGAAAAGAGCTTCGAGTCCCGGATTCAAGGAATGAGAAACGAAGAGCTCTCATGGTTTCGCAAAGCACAGTTACTATCAGCTGTATGACTCCTTATCTTTGATTTTGTATCATTTCTCTAACATATACCTTGTATGAATTTATTTTCATGTATGACTTGCAGTTCAATAGTTTTATACTGAACAGCATCCCGGTAGTTGTGACTGTGGTTTCATTTGGGGTTTTCGTTCTGCTTGGAGGAGACTTGACTCCAGCAATAGCATTCTCATCTCTTTCTCTCTTCGCAGTTCTAAGATCCCCTCTCAACAGTCTACCAAGTCTATTAAATCAGGTTAATATAGCAATCATACCTTCCTCAATGGACCCATCATGTGACAGTGGATTTACTTTTCATATTTGTTATATTCTCTTTGCTACTTCTCCACTTAGGTTGTCAACGCAAATGTTTCACTGCAACGCATGGAGGAACTACTTCTAAGTGAAGAGAGGATTCTAGCACAAAATCCACCTCTTCAACCAGGAGCTCCAGCCATTTCAATTAAGAATGGATACTTTTCATGGGATTCAAAGGTGAATTCTCAAAAGGATAATTTTAGAGTACCTTGTGATAAACTATTAGGTTTCACAGGAAATAAGTTTCTAAAAGGTTCACCGTGTTGCCTCCCAGGCAATGAAGTCCACATTATCCAATATCAATGTGGAGATACCGGTCGGAAGCTTAGTTGCTATTGTAGGTGGAACAGGAGAAGGTAAAACATCACTTGTTTCAGCAATGTTGGGGGAGCTATCTCATTCTGAAACCTCAGACGTTGTTATTCGAGGCTCCGTAGCTTATGTTCCTCAAGTTTCTTGGATCTTCAATGCCACTGTGAGTCACCTTTACGTCTCGTTGGCTCTGGAAACAAAACTCCAGTTTAGCTTTTGGTCAAATAGATAAGCAGAAAATGTGCCAATACAAGTGTTTATGTATTTCAGGTGCGTGAAAACATTATATTTGGGTCAGAGTTTGAATCGGAAAGGTATTGGAGGGCTATTGATGTGACTGCCTTACAACACGATCTTGATTTGCTGCCGGTAAAGTAGGATGAAAAGCTTATGTAACATGCACATGATTTGACATTTCTTAGTAACTTCCTGAGTTTTGCTTATTCAGGGGCGTGATCTTACAGAGATTGGAGAAAGAGGGGTGAATATTAGTGGAGGGCAGAAGCAGAGAGTCTCAATGGCAAGGGCAGTCTACTCAAACTCAGATGTTTACATATTCGATGATCCTTTGAGTGCTCTAGATGCTCATGTTGCCCAGCAGGTACTGATTCCTTACATAACTGATAACTCTTAAGACTGACTTGTTTACGGTCCACAGTGTTACAGCATGTTTGATTTCTCAATAATAAGGTACATCTATTGACAGACTTTTTTTACTCAACAGGTCTTTGATAGCTGCATGAAAGAGGAGCTGAAGGGGAAAACAAGGATTCTTGTCACAAATCAGCTACATTTTCTTCCTTTGATGGATAGAATAATTTTAGTCTCCGAGGGAATGATTAAAGAGGAGGGAACTTTTGAAGAGCTTTCAGAAAATGGAAGTTTGTTCCAGAAACTGATGGAGAATGCTGGGAATATGGATGCAACACAAGAGGTGAATGAAAATGAAGAGAAAAGCTTGAAGACGGTTCCTACTGTCAAAGTTGATGCTACTGACAGTCCCAAGCAAGGGGAGCGGGAAAGATCCGTGCTGGTAAAGGAAGAAGAACGGGAAACTGGCATCATTAGTTGGAATGTTCTGATGAGGTACTTAAAAATTGATCAACTTTGACCATTCATCGAAAGAGAAAAAGAAAATTTTCTTTACATTGTGCAAAATTTGACTCCCAGTTTCTCAGATAAGCATACCTAACGTAGTTCCAAATTTTCAGGTATAAAAATGCAGTAGGAGGCTTATGGGTGGTAATGATTCTCTTTGCTTGCTATTTAACAACCGAAGTTCTCAGAGTTTCAAGTAGCACATGGTTAAGTTTTTGGACTGACCAAAGCACGCCAAAGAGTTATAGTCCCGGTTTCTACATTGTCGTATATGCTTTTCTTGGATTTGGTCAGGTTTGTTGTTTCTGACAAAAGACTAACATCTGTAATTCTGACATACAGTACTTTACACAAAGTTGACGATTTTCTTATGGTTATTTTTTCAGGTTGCTGTCACGTTTGTCAACTCTTTCTGGCTGATCACATCAAGTCTACATGCTGCGAAAAGTCTCCATGACGCGATGCTGAACTCTATCCTGAGAGCTCCTATGCTCTTCTTCGACACAAACCCAACAGGACGTGTAATAAACAGGTTTTCAAAGGATATTGGTGATATAGATAGAAATGTCGCCAACCTAATGAATATGTTCATGAGCCAGCTTTGGCAACTCCTCTCGACGTTTGCTCTTATCGGTACTGTCAGTACGATTTCATTGTGGGCAATAATGCCACTCCTAATACTGTTTTATGCAGCATATCTCTACTATCAGGTAATTTTCTACTTCATGTCGATGGTGCGCTTCTCGTTGATTGTGTTACACTATATGATCCACTTGGAGTTAATATCACTTTTTGTGATTTGTAGAACACATCTCGTGAGGTAAGACGTATGGATTCGGTTACAAGATCACCTATCTATGCTCAGTTTGGAGAAGCTTTGAATGGTTTGTCAAGCATCCGAGCCTATAAAGCCTATGAGAGGATGGCCAAGATTAATGGAAAATCCGTGGACAACAACATAAGGTTCACTCTTGCTAGCACTAGCTCAAATCGTTGGCTCAGTATAAGATTAGAGACTCTTGGGGGTGTCATGATTTGGTTGACTGCAACTTTTGCGGTTCTTCGGAACGGTACTGCAGAGAAGGAATCTGGTTTTGCATCTACGATGGGTCTCCTTCTGAGTTACACTCTGAACATCACTACTCTGCTAAGTGGTGTTCTAAGACAAGCTAGCAAAGCAGAGAACAGCCTGAACTCTGTTGAGCGTGTCGGTAACTACATTGATCTTCCTTCAGAGGCTCCAGATGTAATCGAGAGCAATCGTCCTGTATCTGGATGGCCTTCAAGAGGTTCAATAGAGTTTGAAGATGTTCACCTGCGTTATAGGCCTGAGCTTCCTAGTGTATTGCATGGACTGTCCTTTAATGTTGCTCCCACTGAGAAAGTAGGAGTTGTGGGAAGAACTGGTGCAGGGAAGTCTTCTATGCTAGCTGCATTGTTTCGGATAGTGGAATTGGAAAAGGGAAGAATCATGATTGATGGTTGTGATGTGGCTAAGTTTGGACTGACAGATTTTCGCAGGGTCTTGAGCATCATACCACAGTCTCCAGTTCTTTTCTCAGGTTCGTATGTAACTGAAGACAAAACATTGTCACTATGTTCATGCATTCTGAGGTTCATTTCTTCTTGTTAGGGACGGTGAGATTCAATATTGATCCATTTAGTGAGCACGATGATGGTGACCTCTGGGAGGCTCTAGAAAGGGCGCATATAAAAGATGTTATCGCCAGGACTTCGTTGGGATTTGATACAGAGGTGCGGTTTATATTAGTTTGAAGAATTCTTGATTTTGTTATGATTTATCAAACTCTCACTCTCTTTGAGTCTGTGAAGGTCTCTGAGGGAGGTGAGAACTTCAGCGTGGGGCAAAGGCAACTCCTGAGCCTAGCGCGTGCGTTGCTAAGAAGATCCAAGATCCTTGTTCTAGATGAAGCAACTGCATCTGTTGACGTCAGAACAGATTCTCTGATACAGAAGACCATCCGTGAGGAGTTCAAGTATTGCACAATGCTTGTTATCGCTCACAGATTGAATACCATCATCGACTGTGACAAGATCCTTGTGCTTAGTTCTGGTCAGGTAATGATGCTAGGATCATTGTTCATTGAAATCGCTTATATCCTCTTCTCAACGTCATTGTGTGACTTATATAAAAGGACTATGTCAATTTTTTTTTGTTAGGCATTGGAGTATGATAGTCCACAAGAACTGCTCTCAAGAGAGACAAGTGCGTTCCTTGGGATGGTTAACAGCACCGGACCAGCAAATGCTCAGCAACTTTGCAATTTGGTATTTCAAGGGAGAGTAAACGGAATAACATTGTGATAAGCAAAATGAGACTTGACAAGAATCTGAGATTGTGTTATAACTTATTCAAAGAAAAATTGCTAAGAATAGCTTTCACAATCCTGAGTGAGACGATTCAAAAACAAGTTTTGCGATGGTGTTTAAATGTTTCCACCATCAATCATACAAAGAGCTAAAATTGCATTTACCACAAAAGTGCATAAGTTGCTCCATCCTTTGCTTGCATTTCTTCAATATTTTCTTCCCTGAAACCAAATGAATATTCATCATCATCATCTTAGACTACTAGTAAACATAGGTATACACAGAAGAAATTAAACACTTACATGGGTCGGTGACACTACCAAGACGATTTCTTGATGCCCATCAAAGCACCTTTATTGGCTAAATCACGGAAACAGATTCGAGAGATGCGAAAGAGCTCAGTAACGGAGCGAGATCGGCCCGTGAACACGCACCGGTTCCTTATCCGCACAAACGCACTGTTCCTCGGCAATTTCGAGAGCTTGTAACGATTCTTGTCTCGCATTTCGCTGGGAAGATCTGGATCTTTGCAAAACGCCTTGTACAGCTTCCTCTTCACCTCGAATCTCGCCGCTAGCAGTCTGCGTCTGTGGTCGGCGCTGTTTCGCTTCACGCCTTGCTCCGTGCCACTGTGTTTCGACACCGATTTCATTTGCGTCGTTGTGAATAGCCTCGCTTGAGTTTGACCGCCGTTGTTCGCGGATCGCCATAACAACCTCGACGCAGAAGAGAGATCGATCGGATGCGATTGAGTTAGGGAACGTTGGCAATAGGAAGTTACGTTGCGCAGGACTCCTCGGAGATTAGCCATTGCTTCCAGAGATCCGCCGCCGGGAGAAATACGGTTTCTCTCTCTCGGTTAGTTCAAAACTACGGCTTCTTCTTCTCAGAGAGTTGATAGTTTTGGGCCTGTTCCAATTTGGGCTCTATTGGGCCGTTGCCTGATCCATTTAATCTTTATATTTCTTGTAATACACGGAACAAAATACCCATTTATTTGTAGTAAATATATAAATATAGACACTTCTTTTTTTTTTTTTTTTGAGAAAAGATATATAGACACTTCTTTTGTAAAAAAAGAGAGTGTGTTTGGTTACTGATGAGAAATTGAATTCATGTTTCGAGGTTATTTATTCGATTAATTCTCTATACAAAACAACATTTACATAAAGCCAAAAACCAAACGAAGTTGTGAAGTTGATTGGGTTTGAGTCACACGTAAGCCGTGACGATGAAACTATCTTTTATGTTCCCACTTCAAATTATTTATTTTATTATATGCCAGATAAAACAAGAACAAGCAACAAATTTCAATTTCATTTATTTTCTATTCGAATAAAATGAAAATTATACCAATTTCTGTTTCTTAAATAATATTGTAAAATCTAAACTGTCTCTTATTCCTAACATATACGCAATTACGCAGAGTTGATAATTTTGATAAGTGATTATCTCTGGTCGTCTAAATTCGTCATGTGCCGTATTACCAACCATTTCTGACAAACGTCAATGGTAATTTGCATAAATAAATAAATAATAACGTCACGTGAATTCAAACAAATGCCATATGTGGAGATCGGAATTCGCGATTCCTTATCTTAGAGAATCTTTCTTCTTATTTTATTGGTTTTTGATTATGATTTGTGAACCCAACAGTGACTGCTTCGACTTCGACCTCGACGTTAGGCGCTGCTTCAGTGCTTGTCCAGTTGGATTCTACCCAAAAATCTTGCCTTTTCTTTGGCATTACACAGATTTACTGGCAAAGTTCCAATTTTGGGTCCTTTTGGAACAATCACTAAGCAAAAGGGTAATACTTCTCTTCTTCCCCCACCCACCACATCATCTCTCTCCTCTTCTCTGTATAAGTAGTTGCTTTGGGTTTTGTAGAAACGCTAAAAAGCAGAAAGGTTTATGCTACTGGACTTGGTAAAGGTTTAAGCTTTGGGAAATGGGTTTGCTTTTTTTGGAAATTTAAAACCTTTCCTGCTCTGAGTTGTCAAGCTTCGTTATTCTATTTGTCAAATTTTGCTTTTATTATTAATGAAAGTTATGGACTTTGGGCTATTGTGCTGATGATGGTTGGCTTGGTTAGGACTTAGGGTATGAAATTGTGGGTTGCAAAGCTTTTTGAAAGTATTAAAGGAAATGTCTTTTTGTTTTTTCCAGTTTGGGGTATTCAAGGTTTGATTGAGAAAAAAAGATGGCTTTTGAGGCATTGACTTGGTACTGCAAGCCAGTAGCAGACGGATTTTGGGAGAAAGCAGCCGATGGTGCGTTTGGCGCCTACACGCCATGCGCGATTGACTCACTAGTGATGCTTGGTTCTCACTTTGTGCTTCTTGGTTTGTGTTTCTACCGGATATGGACCATCTTCCACAATACCAAAGCTCAGATATATGTTTTGAGGAAGAAACACTATAACTGTCTCCTAGGGATATTGGCTTGTTACTGTGTTGTTGAGCCTGTACTGAGATTGGTCATGGGGATTTCACTCTTTGACATGGATGAAGAGACCAGTCTTCCTCCCTTTGAGGTGAGCTTTGAAAAGCAACTCTGATTCTTAACCTCATAATGCTTCTTCTTGTTGAAATGAAAGTTCAAGATCAGAAATGAAGTATGATTCTGGTGATATATATATGGCAGGTTGCGTCTTTAATTGTTGAGGCATTTGCTTGGTTCTCCATGCTTGTTTTGATTGGGCTGGAAACCAAACAATATGTCAAAGAGTTCCGATGGTACCTGAGATTTGGTGTTGTTTATGTTTTGGTTGCTGATGCTGTGCTCCTGGACCTCCTGTTGCCTCTCAAGAACTCAGTCAATAGGTTTGTTATCGTATATTTCATGTTAAGGAACTCATTTGGGTGACTAAATTGTTGAAGTGGAAAAAAGTTTTGGTATTTGTAGCTTGAGCTCTGAATCTAAGCTTTAATCTATTTGCTATTGCAGAACTGCCCGGCATCTCTTTATCAGTTCAAGATGTTCCCAGGTTTGTATGAACTTACATCCAAAAAGCTTCAGACTTTTGTAAAGATAGATATATGTAAAGTGAAAGATATAAGCCATGTTTTAAATAGATAGCTCTCAGTGGGAGACTGTCAATCAAATGCTTGGCCTTACTGTTTAAGTATTGATTTGTTTTCTGTTGCAGGCTCTTTTTGGAATTCTTCTTCTTGTTTACATTCCGGAACTGGATCCTTACCCGGGTTACCATACTCTGAACAATGAACCGTTAGACAATGTTGAATATGATGCACTCCCCGGAGGAGAGAACATATGCCCCGAGCGACATGCCAGCATATTTTCCAGTAGGTATCCCCTGAATTGATAAACAAAGTTTTTTGAATCCTCAGTGCTGTGGCAAACAATAGCCATGAGGATGCCCAGTATATTGACTTCATGGTTTCTTTCTGGCTTGCATTCCTTGTCTTAGGAATATACTTTGGTTGGATCACGCCGCTTATGCAGTTAGGCTACAGAAAACCCATAACCGAGAAGGATGTTTGGCAATTAGACAAATGGGACCAAACAGAAACTCTGATCAAAAGGTACAGAAGTAGTGCTGCTTTCCTTTCTGCTTCCTTTGGTATCTCTTTTTGCTTAGAATGAGTATTATTCATTGGATGAATTATCTGATAGATTCCAAAGATGCTGGACTGAAGAATCACAGAGACGCAAGCCGTGGCTTCTCCGAGCACTGAATAGTAGCCTTGGTGGAAGGTAAAGGCTGATGAATTTTTCTAAAAACCAATCGTTACACTGTAATTTTTTTTTAAGCCACACATTATAGATTTCGGCATTGAGATTCTTGTCTACTGTCTTTGTAGGTTCTGGTTGGGTGGTATTTTTAAGGTAGAGATCTTATGGTTTAATTAGTGCTTTTAAATGATGGTTTCAGTTGTTTATTTGACAACCCTCAGGAAATTTATACATCATGTTTTAGCGTGTTGTAGATTGGAAATGATCTTTCTCAATTTGTTGGACCGGTTATACTGAGCCATCTATTGCGGGTAAGCTTTGTTTCTGCTTAGTCCTTACTAAGAGAATATTCCATAGCTTTTCTGGCCTATGCTTCTACATGCTACTTCGTGTTACTGAATATAAACTGAAGCAAATCTTTGATCATTTTATGTAGTCAATGCAAGAAGGTGATCCAGCTTGGGTTGGCTACGTATATGCTTTCTTAATTTTCGTTGGAGTGGTAAGTATCACAAAGCTCTCCAAAAAAAATAGAATTTTACTTTTTCTCCAAACTTTTTGTTTGGTTTTCTACTCTTCCTCAGTGAATACTCATAATTACTCACCATTTTAGTTCTCACATTGTTGTTTTTCCATTTCCATTTTGTTTCAGACACTTGGAGTGCTCTGTGAAGCTCAGTACTATCAGAATGTTTGGCGCGTGGGATTTCGTTTGAGGTCAACTTTGGTAAAGTTTTCGTGAAACTTCCATTACTCCTGTTTAGTTATCTTTATTCTCCAACTAGTTATGCTAATTTCCTTGTAGGTTGCAGCAATATTCCACAAATCTTTAAGACTAACTCACGAAGCTCGCAAGAATTTTGCATCTGGGAAGGTCACAAACATGATAACTACAGATGCCAATTCGCTTCAGGTATACTTATGTTCACTACAAAGTTCCATCTTCTTTCTCAGTTTTTGATCCATACTACTTTTGCACAACTTCAGGATTTACAGTTGCTAACATAGTCTCCTGAATTTTTCCAGCAAATATCACAACAGCTTCATGGCTTATGGTCAGCTCCCTTTCGCATCATTGTGTCTATGATACTTCTGTACCAACAACTAGGAGTTGCTTCGCTTTTCGGTTCATTAATTCTGTTTCTCTTAATTCCTCTCCAGGTAGTTAGCTTCATTCATTTCTCTCTTTTTTTTTCAGTTGTCCAGTTGAACAAGTTGTGGTAATTCCATATGTTTACATACCATTCCACTTATCCTGTTTCTTGATAAACAGACTCTGATTATAAGCAAAATGCGGAAACTGACTAAAGAAGGACTCCAGTGGACTGACAAAAGAGTCGGCATTATGAATGAGATTTTGGCATCCATGGATACTGTAAAGTATGTCTGATATTCGTAGTTATTTTTCTGAACGGCACATTCTTAAAGCAGTTACTCTACTATTTTTTCCATCTGTGTTAGATGCTATGCATGGGAGAAGAGCTTCGAGTCCCGGATTCAAGGAATTAGAAACGAAGAACTCTCATGGTTTCGCAAAGCGCAGTTGCTATCAGCTGTATGACTCTTTAGCTTTGATTGTGTCATTTCGATCTAAACCATTATTCTCCAACTTAATAGGTTCACATATCTTAACTGCATGCAGTTTAACAGCTTTATACTGAACAGCATCCCGGTAGTTGTGACCGTAGTTTCATTTGGGGTTTTCGTTCTGCTTGGAGGAGATTTGACACCAGCAAGAGCATTCACATCTCTTTCTCTCTTTGCAGTTCTTAGATTTCCTCTCAACATGCTTCCAAATCTACTTAGCCAGGTTATTTTACAGTCATTCCCTCCTCAGTTGTTACATATTCCTCACTTATGTTTGTCTTAACGTAATCAATTTATTGATCTGCATTCAATCCATCATGTGAAAATGGATTTACTCTTCATAATTTAGTTGTCTACTCTTGATATTTAGGTTGTCAACGCCAATGTTTCACTGCAACGCATGGAAGAACTACTTTTAAGTGAAGAGAGAATTCTAGCGCAAAACCCACCTCTTCAACTAGGAGCTCCAGCCATTTCAATTAAGAATGGATACTTTTCATGGGATTCAAAGGTGAGCTTTCTAATTATTCCCTCCTGCTTAGGTTATGCTGAGATGCAACATTAGCTTCTACGATGCACAGAACATAACTTTCTGCAAGGTTCATTGTGCTCATATATCCCCAGAGTACAAAGCCTACATTATCCAATATCAATTTGGAGATACCGGTCGGCAGCTTGGTTGCCATTGTAGGTGGAACGGGAGAAGGTAAGACATCACTTGTTTCGGCAATGTTGGGGGAGTTATCTCATGCTGAGACCACAAATGTTGTTATTCGAGGCTCCGTAGCTTATGTTCCCCAAGTTTCATGGATCTTCAATGCCACTGTGAGTCACCTTTACATCTCGTTGGCTCTGAAACAGAGGATATAGTTTAGCTTTCAGTAGCTTTATCTTCAATGCCACTGTGTGTATGTATTTCAGGTGCGTGAAAACATTTTATTTGGGTCGGATTTTGAGGCGGAAAGATATTGGCGGGCTATTGATTCTACTGCCTTACAACACGATCTTGATTTGCTGCCGGTAAAGTAGGATGAAAAGCTTATCTAGCATGCACATGATTTGACATTTCTTAGTAACTTCCTGAGTTTTGCTTATTCAGGGGCGTGATCTTACAGAGATTGGAGAAAGAGGGGTGAATATTAGTGGAGGGCAGAAGCAGAGAGTCTCAATGGCAAGGGCAGTCTACTCAAACTCAGATGTTTACATATTCGATGATCCTTTGAGTGCTCTAGATGCTCATGTTGCCCAGCAGGTACTGATTCCTTACATAACTGATAACTCTTAAGACTGACTTGTTTACGGTCCACAGTGTTACAGCATGTTTGATTTCTCAATAATAAGGTACATCTATTGACAGACTTTTTTTAACTGAACAGGTCTTTGATAGCTGCATGAAAGAGGAGCTGAAGGGGAAAACGAGGATTCTTGTCACAAATCAGCTACATTTTCTTCCTTTGATGGATAGAATAATTTTAGTTTCCGAAGGATTGATCAAAGAGGAAGGAACCTTTGAAGAGCTGTCAAAAAATGGGAGATTGTTCCAGAAACTAATGGAGAATGCTGGGAAAATGGATGCAACCCAAGATATGAATAAAAGTGACGAGAAAATCTCAAAGCCGGGTCCTACTCTCACGGTTGATGTGAGTGATAGAAATTCTGGCAGTACCAAGCAAGGAAAACGAGGAAGATCCGTTCTGGTAAAGCAAGAAGAACGGGAAACTGGCATCATTAGTTGGAATGTTTTGATGAGGTATTTACCTCAACATCTTTCTAAATCTAGATATTGATCAACTTTGATTGTTTGAAGAAAAAAGATGGCTTAAATACAGTTGTTCAACACATAATGAGCGTTTCCCTTATGTCTTTTGGGCAAAATATGACTTGTTTACCATTGCAGTAACTAATATACTGCTCCATTTTTCAGGTATAAAAATGCAGTAGGTGGCTTATGGGTAGTAATGATTCTCTTTGCTTGTTATTTAACAACTGAAGTTCTCAGAGTTTCAAGTAGCACATGGTTAAGTTTTTGGACCGATCAAAGCACGTCAAAGAGTTACAGTCCCGGGTTCTACATCATTGTGTATGCTCTTCTCGGATTTGGTCAGGTTTGTTTCTGATAAAACGAGTGAAAGATATCATTGTGTAATATTACATGAAGTTAAGGTTTATTTTGGTCATTGGTTTAGGTTGCTGTGACGTTTACCAACTCTTTTTGGCTGATCACATCAAGTTTACATGCCGCCAAAAGACTCCATGACGCGATGCTGAATTCTATCATGCGAGCTCCTATGCTCTTCTTCCACACAAACCCAACAGGACGTGTAATAAACAGGTTTTCAAAGGATATTGGGGACATAGATAGAAATGTCGCCAACCTAATGAATATGTTCATGAACCAGCTTTGGCAACTCCTCTCGACGTTTGCTCTTATTGGTACCGTCAGTACAATCTCACTGTGGGCAATAATGCCACTCTTAATACTGTTTTATGCAGCATATCTCTACTATCAGGTAATTTTCTTCTTTATGTTGATTGTTCTATGCATCAAATACATGCAGAATTGTTCTTAATCCACTTGGAATTAATATCACTTTTGTGGTTTGTAGAGCACATCCCGGGAAGTTAAACGTCTGGATTCGGTTACAAGATCACCTATCTATGCTCAGTTTGGAGAAGCTTTGAATGGTTTGTCAAGCATCCGAGCCTATAAAGCCTATGAGCGGATGGCCAAGATTAATGGAAAATCCATGGACAACAACATAAGGTTCACTCTTGCAAACACTAGCTCAAACCGTTGGCTCACTATAAGACTGGAGACTCTTGGGGGTGTCATGATTTGGTTGACTGCAACTTTTGCGGTTCTGCGAAATGGGAATGCAGATAACCAAGCTGGTTTTGCATCTACGATGGGTCTCCTTCTGAGTTACACTCTGAACATCACTACTCTGTTAAGTGGTGTTCTAAGGCAAGCTAGTAGAGCAGAGAACAGCTTGAATTCTGTTGAGCGTGTTGGTAACTACATTGATCTTCCTTCTGAGGCTCTAGATATAGTTGAGAACAATCGTCCATCATCGGGATGGCCTTCAAGAGGATCAATAAAGTTTGAAGACGTTCACCTGCGTTATAGACCCGGGCTTCCTCCAGTGTTACATGGACTGTCCCTTTTTGTTTCTCCCAGTGAGAAAGTAGGAGTGGTGGGAAGAACTGGTGCAGGGAAGTCTTCTATGCTTAATGCGTTATTTCGGATTGTGGAAGTGGAAAAGGGAAGAATCATGATTGATGACTATGATGTGGCTAAGTTTGGACTGGCAGATTTGCGGAGTGTCCTAAGTATCATACCACAATCACCAGTTCTTTTCTCAGGTCTGTGTGTAATTTAAGACAACATTGTAACTTGTCAGTATGTTCATCCTGCATTCTGTTTTTCATCATGGGAAACATTTCTTCTTGTTAGGGACGGTGAGATTCAATATTGACCCATTTAGTGAGCACAGTGATGCTGAGCTCTGGGAGGCTCTACAAAGGGCGCATATAAAAGATGTCATCACCAGGAATCCTTTTGGCCTAGAGGCAGAGGTGTAGTTTCAAAAAAAAAATTAAAACTTGTTTGTTTTGTTGTGATTGAGATTATTGATCAAACTCTCACTCACTTTGAAGGTATCTGAGGGAGGTGAGAATTTCAGCGTTGGGCAAAGGCAACTCCTGAGTCTAGCGCGTGCGTTGCTAAGAAGATCCAAGATCCTTGTTCTAGATGAAGCAACTGCTTCTGTTGATGTCAGAACAGACTCTCTGATACAGAAGACCATCCGTGAGGAATTCAAGTCTTGCACAATGCTTGTTATCGCTCACAGATTGAATACCATCATCGACTGTGACAAGATCCTTGTGCTTAGTTCTGGTCAGGTAATGCCAGAAATTATTGTTCATGGGAACACACTTAGGTACGTACAGAGTAGCAACATCCTTGTGTGACTTACACAAAACTATGTCAATATTATTAGGTTTTGGAGTATGATAGTCCACAAGAACTGCTATCAAGAGATACAAGTGCGTTCTTTAGGATGGTTCACAGCACAGGGCCAGAAAATGCTCATTACCTTTGTGACTTGGTCTCTGAACGGAGAAGTAATGGAATGAGACTAGGTGGATAGAAATGGTCACCACTCACCAGCATTTCAAGAATGAGTTTATAAGTTCGGATTGCGACAAGAAGAACGATAATGGAGGTTGCAGTTGTCCCTTTGCATGGTGACTGAAGTTACCAGAGTCCCAATGTTACAAGGTGATAGTCTTATGCTGCACTGAACAGTCGATGGTAAACCCAAAATTCTGCAGCCATGACCAATACGCGTTATACAAGCAATTCTGGTGATGTATCATTACCAAGTGTTCATATATATGTACAAAGACTTCACAAAACTAATGATCTACAAAACAATAAAGTTATTCTCTGAGATTAATAGAGTGCATATGTTCTTGATTCTATGATCCTAGCTTGTTTAGATGGAAAGTGGGTTAAAACCTTGACAAATTTTATAAATAAAAAAAATAAATAAAAAAACACTATGAAATTTACCATGCTGAACAGCTTCTAATGTGAATAAACAAACCCTTTTTGTTAAAACATACACAACACAGAGACAACTCAATGTGAAATGTTTTCTTAAATGTTTTGGCCTTTGTAGCAAAGTAAGGTCTATTATTAAAACATTATTATCAACAATCCGTTGTAGTCTAGCTGGTTAGGATACTCGGCTCTCACCCGAGAGACCCGGGTTCGAGTCCCGGCAACGGAGATTCTTTTTACTGTCACGTGGCAAAATTATCTCATTATTAGTTTTACCTTTTTTGGCTCCTCGTTTAGCCAAAAAAAAATGAATAAAGTTCAGACGTAAAAAGCGTGACGACGATTACGAAAGCCGAGGCGTGTGGTGAGTTTGTTTCCCATGTGGTGTGGGCCGTGTGACTAATGGTCTCGTCTCTCTCTCACGCCTTTGTCTAAAAGGCAAGCAAATTGTGAGACATCTTTAATGATTTTGTTCGGACTTAATTGTAAATTATTTTCATTTTTAACCTTTTTGTAATTTGTGAATCACGTGAGGTCATTTATCATCATGTTAATTGTAATTTACGTTTACACGCATAATAGAGTGAACACTTAATTATCTTCCCATATACACAATCAAAATAAAATCATGATTTCGTATTCCTCCATCTAACACATGTAATATGTTAACCTTATTCTTAGTGGTAGATCCGGTTTTTCTGTTGAAGATAATATGTACGACTTGTTTCGAGTACGTTGAAAGATATGTATAAAGTGGTACTAGTAAATTAGTTATGGTATCTGTACATTTTTCATGACAAAGATTTGAATTTAAAATTTGGGGTTGACTTGTGTGTCTGGGGTTGAGTGTAGTGTGTAGAGTGACAAAGCCAGGACATAAACGCATGTAAAAGCAATTCAGCTTTCTGTGTGGACAAGAAGCATACAAAAATCATAATAATACTCAAAAAAAGAGTTTAGAAAATTAAAGTTTTCAAGAATTAAAGTTTTGAACAAAAAAAAAGAAAATTAAAGTTTTCAAGAATCCTAAGAAAAAGAACAAGGGACATAGTTCGCAGTTTAGGTCCAAATCACTCAACACTATTGCATGCGTATTTTTCTTTTCTTTTTCTCTAATTAGTTCTTAATGATTTTTTTCACACACACACACGTACGCCGATACAAGCTTTCGCAAATAAATTTACACTGAGTTTTACATAAAATTTAAATAAATAATAAAAGACCAGATGATGATGGTGTATTACACTCTACAAGGTTGATCAGGACTCAGGAGGCCGAAATAAACGTGGCTAAAAGAAGTCTTCTTCTTGTTTTGTCAAGACTAACTTACGTGTAAATCGAACCTTAAATCTCAAACTTTTCTCTTAAGTATAACTTGAAAAAGTCAAAACTTGTATTGTTATTTTTTAAATGGGATGTTATGTCTTTTATTTCTGTGACATACACCATCAACGATTTGTGAAACGTAAGACCAGTAAACTCTTTGCTATTATTTGGACCTTGATCCACCAAACTCTCAATGGTGACTGAATCAGCGATTCTAAACATAGTACATCAAACAAAACTATAAAACCAGGCAATGAATTTCATTTAACTCACTCATTCCATTCCTCAATCCTCACAATAAAACCAAAAAAAAGGAAAAAAAAAACAGAAAACTAAAAAATATATAGAATAATGGCAAGAGCTCATCTATTGCTATGCTTCACCATTCTATTTGCATCCGTGACCCTTCTGGATGTAGTTTCATCTACCCTGAACTTTAAACCAGCTTTGCCTCAGATTGCAGACCCACAAACAGTTGCCGAGGTGGAACCTTACACTATTAAAGTAGTGATGGTATTTGTGGGTGACCTCGAGAAGCAGTGTCCTAAGACGAGCAAATTCAAGATGTTCTTCGAGAAACTTAGGGGATTCGCCAAATATGTTTGCCCCATTAGAAGGCTTAGAGAGAAAAATTACGAAACGGACATGAAAGCCAAAGCTGGGGGTCTCTTCCAGGCCATTTCTTCTTTTGCTATTGGAAAGGTAAGTGTATTATTTTTAAAAAAAAAATATGAAAAGCTATGTCTAAATGAACAATTTCTTGCTACTTACGTCTTCATGCATGCATGCATGTATATAACAGATCAGGGCAGAAATCCAAGAGGAAAAAAATGAAGCCATTGCAAACTATAGGTTTATGAAAACCTTGGCGGGTAAGATTCTTGGCGGCCGCAAAAAAGACGAGACCGAAGACACCATGAAGCTAACAGCAGAACAACAAAAGGAAATCAAAGAAGGGATCTTGAAGTGGGAGACGGTGATTGCTAAAGTCACAACCACAATGGTACAAAGCACAACAACCTCTTCTTCAGCAAGCGAAGGTTCTGCGAGTGCAAAAGAAGTTTCAGCCGGCGGCAAGCAAGACTCTGCTAGCGGAAGCTCTTACAAAGACACAACCGGTTCAAGCTCCAGCTCGGGAAGCCCTAGTGAAAGCCCATCTGGTTCAAAATCATCTGGTTCAAGCTCTGATGAATCAATCTCTAAAGAAACAGGCTCTAAAGGTTCAAGCTCTAAAGGTTCAAGCTCTGAAGAATCAAGCTCTAAAGAAACAGGCTCTAAAGGTTCAAGCTCTAAAGGTTCAAGCTCTGAAGAATCAAGCTCTAAAGAAACAGGCTCTAAAGGTTCAAGCTCTAAAGGTTCAAGCTCTAAAGTTGAAGCTAAAGCTGGAGGTGGAGCTTCCTTTGAGGATAGTACCGGTGGAAGCCCTAGTGGAAGTCCTTCAAACAGCCCATCTGAAACTTCCACGAGCACTAAGTCAAGTGGAAAAGTAGAAGCAAGTGAAAGTGCAAGTGGAGGTGCAAGTGCAAGTTCAGGTGGAAGCGCAAGTGTATCTAGTCAGAAAGGCGAAATATCAATTACAGAAGTTGAGACTCAGACTTCCGAACAAGTTATGACATTCTTAATGGGCCTCGAGAAGAAGTGTCCCCAAAAGGAGGAATACAAGTCCTTCTTCGAGAAACTCAAGGGTACCATGACAACCACCGTAAGGGTCAAGAGAGGTTTCTTCTCTGGTCTTAGAGCTGCTGTTGGGAAAGTAGGTGATGCCATGGCATTTATGCGTTCAAGAATTGGAACCAGATCAGCAGAGGTATGTAACGAGAAACTCTCTTCAAAACCTTATGAATCTAAATCCAATGTCTATCCAAATGGCAGTGGGCTAAATCCAATTTCATCTTTTTATTGTATGTCGACAGATGAAGACGAAATTGGAAACTTGTCAAGCAGAAGTGGTGAAGGCTATGGAAGAGCTAGACGCCATCCACGCTCAAATTGTAAGCCAAAACAAGGGTAAGAAAGGAGGAGCTATGACATGCACAGCAGCACAACAGGCAGAGATTAAAGTGAAAATCACCAAGTGGGAACAAGTCACAACCCAATTCGTTGAGGCTACTATGGAGAGTGAAGCTTCTTCATCTGCATCAGCTTCTTCTTCTTCTTCTTCTGGTAAATTAACCTCCGGGGGTGTCAAGCCATTTTGAGCTCAAAGGCTAAGCTACACTGATTCGCCACAAATCAGGGAGAAGTGAAACTAGCAGCGCCAAGTATTATGATGAGTAGCTAATATTTAGAATTCTTGTTTTGATTGTAAATAAAACAGAGATCGGTACGTAGGCCACCAATAGATCTACCGACCGACACATGCAAATAATAACTATGTAAAAAAAGATTACATAGAGTTTAAGCATTATGTATGTTATAACAACATTCATGATTGAGTGAGATCATTGAATGAATTTTTGTAATAATTAATTTTTCTTCCTTTTCTAAATGAAATTAAGCAGAATACATTAAATTAATAGTATGATCTCTTACCATATACTCCATAAAGAGTATTAAGTTTTAGGGATCCGTATTTAAACTTTTAATTAAGTACGTAATCGTATATAACTTGAATAATCTTTAATTTTAATTATTGAGTCAGTGCATAGTTAGAATCCGGACAAATATTCAAATGGTTTAGTTTTACTAACTCACATGAGTACAAATTTAAACTTGGGATAATCTTTTATTATCATAAAGTCGTTGGTTCGGTTTTAGTGAGAAGTTGAGAAATGCAAAACTTAACTAACGAAAAGGTAACAAAGGCGGAAAGAAGTCAAACTTCACGTGGCCAAGCTGGTTATGGACCACGTCAGCATTGAACTAACAAAATATTCGTCAGGACAACGAAGCTTCAACCACATGCTTAGATAGAGATAGTACGGACAAAATCCCATTCCATCACTAATAATAGAGGAATATATTTTGTAATAAAATTGTCTTTCGTGACTTCCTCAAGTTCGCATTATTGTTTTCGATATTTAGGCACACATAGTTTTACGTATTTTATTTTCGCGTACTTTTCTAATATATATGTAGATAGTTATGTTTAATCACATTGACAATCCGCATACCGTATAACAAAATTTTATTCCTAATTAATTTCGAACAGGAGGACGAATCTTCATATAGATTGAGTAATATACCGTTAATCGGATCACTTTGACAGACATTTAGTGAGCAAAACTATTCAAAGCCACTTAAAATGTTACTCCTTCGCGACTAGGACAAGTCGACGGGGTGATTCATATTGGATTTGAGGTGGCAACTTCTAAAATTGTATAACAAAATGAATGATAATATATAGTTGCGAATTGCGATAGGAAATGGATCACTATGTATTTACAAACTGTAGACACAATTATACAAACATAGTTTTTTTTCTCCCTTTTGTATGTACAATTAGCTAATTACAATATTTTGGAAACGTAAATACAACATGCGTGTTGGATGTCTGTTCTGTACTGATGACTCTCAATTTGAAAAGCTTATAAAATGTTTATATCTCTATGTTTGTCATGGACACATACACGCCATGGTATTACAGATAAAAACATATTGGCCTGATAAACATATAAAATAAAATAAATCCAACATGAACAGTTATGGAGTATTATTTCTTCAAAGGTTATTACAAGAAAACTTTATTAGAAAACAAAAATAGAATAAAATTTGTACGACTTCACAATGATATATACACAAAACAATACTAAAATTTATATGGTCTCTATCAAATATTTTTGAGACGGAGAGAGGACAATTATAACCGCACTCGCACGCCAAAGATTAGTGGGAAGGATTGGATTCTTTGAGTAGAGACATTAGGACAAAATTAAAACCCCACATTTAAGATTTTAATCACAAACAAAAGTGTTGCTAATATCAAGAATCAACACAATGAGTATGTTTGAAGATACAAATGACCCCACATGGAGTGCATGTGTTCATCAAAAAGCCTTTAACTCTCTCTCATTTAATATCTCAAATCTCGAGACCTCTTTTGAAAAATGTCCATCATCTCTTTCCTTTTAATTTCACCATTGGATTAAAATACTTTCTAAATTCCAAACCAACCAATACAGAAACTATCAATAAACTCCATTTCTATTCCCTTGCATTTATTTATTTAATTTTCTTTTTCCTTTTCTTCTTCTTACAAAGTTACAATACCACGAGTTTGCCTTTTTTTCCTATTAAAAATAAAAATAATGTTTGCTGTATGGTCCCCTAACATGTATATTCTCGTATAAAGGGTACGAGAGCTGGTAACTTCTGCTTAGCTGTTCTTGTCTAGCTGGGTTTTTGGGGGTTGGGCTCTTTTCTTTTCTCTCTCTTCATTATTTTGTTGGGAAAAAGGTTTGAATTTGGTGTTGCAGATAAGATTATTTGAGAATTCTGGGTAGGGATCGATTGCACAACAGTGTGATTATTTGTGGGTTTAGGTTTAATTTCTGAGCTGTGGAGCTTCCGTAACTGAATGTGGAAGAAAGGAGGCAGCTCAAGTGTTTGCGATAATGTCTGAGTGAAATTTGATCCGTTTTAAGTAATTTTCGATCTGGGTATTAAGGGATGGATCCAAAGTCTTCTTCTTTCTGAGAATTCAGCAGTGTCTCTTGTTTGGCTGCTGTACGTTTAGGGTTTTTGATTTTTGGTGGTGGAAGCTCTTAACTATCGTAGTTTCTTTGCTGTGTTCTGGTGAGAGAAAGTATGGCTTGTATGAAGCTGGGATCCAAATCTGATGCTTTCCAGAGACAAGGCCAGGCTTGGTATATTCACTTGATCTCACTAATTTTATATTGTATTGTTTTTCTCCTGCTAATAGCTCAGACTTGGTCTTAACCTAAGACCTTTGGTTTTGAAAGCAAATTTAGCATTACTGAGTCAAAGCTTAATCCTTTGTCTGACTGTCTTTCTTTGGTTTTTGCTAAATTGAAGGTTTTGCACAACTGGACTTCCAAGTGATATTATCGTTGAGGTTGGAGAGATGTCTTTCCATCTCCACAAGGTAAAATTTGATTAACTTGATCAAGACAACACTCTCTTCTTGAAACACTAATCAGGAATGATCAATCTTCTAAAATGTTATGCCCTTCTCTGGCATTGTAGAAATCTGCTCTGCTATGTATCAAATTGTGTCATATTAGTCGTTTGTGGATCAAGAGATTGATACCACTGTTGTTGAAACTTTGGTTTATAGCTCTTTATCTTCTTCTTCTTATGACTAATCATCAATGAAACTATACTAATCTTAATATTTGGTTCCTATAAAACTTATTTAGTATCTGTAGTTTTTGCAATATGATCTCTTACTTACTATAGAAACTACTAAAGCCTCTTCTTTGATAAACAGTGGTGTTACTTGCAATTTTACTTATAGCTGTTATCTTTGCTATATGCAGTTTCCATTGCTCTCAAGAAGTGGAGTCCTGGAAAGAAGAATCGCAGAGGCGTCGAAAGAAGGGGATGATAAATGTCTCATCGAGATAACTGATCTTCCTGGCGGAGACAAAACGTTTGAACTAGTCGCCAAGTTCTGCTATGGCGTGAAGCTCGAGCTCACTGCCTCTAACGTTGTATATCTCAGATGTGCCGCTGAGCATCTCGAAATGACGGAAGAGTATGGAGAAGGAAACCTTATCTCTCTAACCGAAACCTTTTTCAATCAAGTGGTGCTCAAAAGCTGGAAAGATTCAGTGAAAGCGCTTCAAAGCTGCGATGAGGTCCTCGCGTACGCTGATCAGTTGAACATTTCCAAGAAATGCATAGAGTCACTAGCCATGAGAGCGTCCACAGACCCAAACTTGTTCGGATGGCCAGTCGTGGAGCATGGTGGGCCAATGCAGAGTCCAGGTGGCAGCGTTTTATGGAACGGGATTAGCACCGGGGCTAGACCTAAACATACTAGTTCGGACTGGTGGTATGAGGATGCGTCTATGCTTAGCTTTCCTCTTTTCAAGAGACTCATCACAACCATGGATGCAAGAGGCATAAGAGAAGACATCATCGCCGGTTCTCTAACCTATTACACGAGAAAATACTTGCCTGGCTTGAAAAGGAGACGCGGTGGAGCTGAGACTAGCGGTCGTTTCAACACACCTTTGGGCTCCGGGAACGTTCTGTCTGAGGAAGAGCAGAAGAACCTGCTTGAAGAGATCCAGGAGCTTCTCCGAATGCAAAAAGGTTTAGTCCCGACTAAGTTCTTCGTGGACATGCTTCGAATCGCCAAGATCTTGAAAGCTAGTCCGGCTTGCATTGCGAACTTGGAGAAGAGGATAGGGATGCAGCTTGACCAGGCGGCGTTGGAAGATCTTGTGATGCCTAGCTTCTCACATACTATGGAGACTCTTTACGACGTTGACTCTGTGCAAAGGATCTTGGACCATTTTCTTGGGACGGATCAGATCATGCCCGGTGGGGTCGGCTCTCCTTGTTCTTCAGTAGACGACGGGAACTTGATCGGATCTCCGCAGTCTATAACACCGATGACAGCTGTTGCGAAGCTGATCGATGGGTATCTTGCTGAAGTTGCTCCTGATGTCAACCTCAAGCTTCCAAAGTTCCAAGCTTTGGCTGCTTCTGTTCCTGAATACGCCAGACTCTTAGATGATGGACTCTATCGTGCAATAGACATTTATCTTAAGGTAAGTCGCATGACTCACATCAAATCTTGTTAAATATCTGGTTTTGTTTACACAGACGCATTAAAGTTTCTTCTTTTTCTTACTTTTGATGATTTGCAGCATCATCCTTGGTTAGCGGAAACGGAAAGAGAGAACCTTTGCAGGTTGTTAGATTGCCAGAAGCTCTCTTTAGAAGCTTGCACACACGCGGCACAGAACGAGAGACTGCCGCTAAGAATCATCGTACAAGTCCTCTTCTTTGAGCAGCTTCAGCTCAGAACCTCTGTAGCTGGATGCTTTCTTGTTTCAGACAACCTCGACGGCGGATCAAGACAGTTAAGAAGCGGAGGATTTGCAGGAGGATCAACCGAAGGAGGAGGAGGAGGAGGAGGAGGATGGGCAACAGCAGTAAGAGAGAACCAAGTCTTGAAAGTTGGAATGGACAGTATGAGAATGCGGGTTTGTGAGTTGGAGAAGGAATGTTCCAATATGAGACAAGAGATTGAGAAACTCGGGAAGACAACGACGAAAGGAAGTGGTTTGGGAGGTGGTAGCAAGACGTGGGATAACGTTTCTAAGAGACTAGGGTTTGGGTTTAAGCTGAAGTCACACCAAATGTGCAGTGCTCAAGAAGGATCAGTGTCAAAGTCAAACAGCGAGAATGTGAAGATAGAGAAGCTAAAAGATGTCAAAGAACGTCGTGGGAAGCATAAGAAAGCTTCGAGCATTAGTTCTGAAAGGTGAAGAATGGTAAAAGTTTCCACTGGTTAATGTCAAAGTTACCGTATTTGGGATTTGTTTAGCTTTAAGAACGAAAAAAGGCTTCCACTGTTAAATGTGTGCATTTGTAGTCAAGTGGTGCTCTCTCCTCATGTTTTTTTCTTTCAAATTGTCTATGTATCTTTGATGACCAAACTAAACTATTTTCTTGTCATTATTATTTTTAATTGCAACTTCATTGAAAAAGTTAGAAGAAAAATGGGAATATTAATTTTTTTCTGATATGGTGTATTTCTTTGTCAAAGACTCAAAGTCTTAACAACGAAAACGTAAAGAGATAGAGAAGCTTAAGGATGATGACAAAGACAAAAAACGTCATGCATAAGAAAGCTTCAAACTTTAGGTTTTTTTTTCTTGCTAAAGGACAGTTTCAAGCGTTAGTTCCAAAAGGTAAAAACGGTAAATTTCTACGGTTAAAATGCTAAATGACCACTGTTGGGAGTTTCAACTTAACAAATGTGAATGCATTTTTTCTCATAATAATTTAAATCTAGATGGGGATATTAGTTTGCTTAAATTGGTTTATTAGAGTTAAATTTATGAAAGATAAAATCTTAAGTCTTTGAACTGACCAAGACTATTATGCTATAAGGAATTGATGGACATTTCAGCTTGACCCAATTATTTTTAAAAAGCCCAAATCATAACTTAATTTTCTTACTACCATTTTTCGTAACTTTCCTCCGTTTATAATATTTTAATTTTTCTTTCCTCTGAAATCTGAATTCGTCTCTTTATGTTTTCTTCTGAATTTCTCTTACTTTTTTCCGTTAATTCGTCGAATCTCCGATCTCAGTTCTCGTTAGATATCAAACTCTCCGATCTCTGATTCCGCCGGCATCCCTCTGGTTGTTGTAAGGAGGAGCGAGGGATCTGTCCAGATTCGGCGGGAGAAATGGATAAAGGCGACATTGAAGAAGCCGGCAGTAATGGCGAAGAGGAATTCGGGTCAGGAACGCGTCTCGGTGGAAGACAATACAGGCCGGTAGTGGCGCACGATAGGGCGGTTGTCGAAATGTCCTCCATCGATCCTGGATCTCCCTCCTCTTCCACCCTCAAGTAATTTCTTATCGGATCACTCTCTTTCATTTTATAAAATTCGCCACTGATTCTCGCAGCTTCATTTCCGCGTGGTGTAGCTCAATATTATCACGCTCCTCAAGTGTTTTTGGACTTTTTTTCGTTGATGATGATTTCGTTTACTGATCAGTAGAAATGGGATGTAATTTGGTTCGTTGCTATGATTTTCGGCTAGAATGTTGTTTAGATTTTTCTTCTCGTAGTGCCATTGGTAATGGTAGAGTTCGTTTCTCAAAGCTCTGTTTTCTGGTGTAAGATTCTCTGGCAATTTGATGTCGAAAGTGACGTTTGCTTAATAAGATTCACATTACAATTTTGTTTTTTAGTTCCTTGACATTTGCTTCACATTGGTAGATGAATTGCGTAAGTCTAAAAGAGGATTTTTTTTTTCTTTCGTTGCTTTCTTACTGCTTGTAAAGAGAATCCCTCGAAGGTGATATTCTAGTGTTAAAGTAGTGGACGCGGAATATTCCAAACTCTACCTTGGAAAGAAGTATTGAATGTTTTCATCATGAAAGTCTCACATTTGTAGGTTTTTGACAGGAACATAAAAGTAGTTGTACCGGGAGAGGTGGGCTCTGGTGCGAGGGAGGGGCCAAGACCACAAGATGGAGTCAATGGCCATCAGAAGGAATCCAAGCTGGAATTATTTGGTTTCGATTCTCTTGTGAACATTCTTGGCTTGAAGAGGTACATGCGTTCTTAATTTACTATTTACATTTAAGATGACGTTCATTTACTGCATTATGTGATAGTTGGAAATTACTGAACATTATCTCTTGCTTTTGCTGATCCCTGCTTTTTTTTCCCTTCCTAACTGAATCAATGGATAACATTCTTCATAGAAGTGTCTTGCTTGTTTGAACCTGCTCTATTGTTTTCCCATGTTCAGTTTTTCTTGCACAGGAAACATGTCATTTGCTTTAGAAAACACCTATTCTCTTAATTTTTCATGCGGTGATGTAATGGATTTCCCTTTCAGTATGACAGGGGAGCAAATTGCGGCACCATCTAGCCCTAGAGATGGGGAGGATATCTCCATCACGCAAGGGCACCCAAAGGTATCTTTCTATTCCCCTTGGCTTCTCACTGCTTTGTATATAAATACAATTGGTTATTTCTGCCATGCTGTTCCGATCAAGCGCTCCTCTCTGTTTTCTCTAAAGAAAAAGTCTCTCAATTCGCATCAGGATTAGTCAAGAGATGTATATGAGAAATTTTAGGGAACACTTGAAAATAACTGAAAAGTTAATACTTCTAACACTGGTGATGTAGTAGCAGGCCAGGAGTTCAAATTTCATGCACTAGGATTAAGCTTAGTCTCCTTCAGTTTTCTCTTCCTTGTTTATGAACATTTATAAACAACTCTAAACTAAGATGGGCGAACATTTTCTGTAATGAAGTTGACCTGTTACATTACAGAAATTGCCTTCCTTAATCAGATTGTTTTGCTGCTTTCTGTTTGGGGATCACTGTTTCAGGATAATTAGATGGTTTTTACTTCATCCGAAAATCTCTTTCGTTTTTCTTTTGTTGACTTTGTTTCTTATGGGGCATGCAAAAGTAAGGTTTTTATTAGGTATTCTGCAAGGATTTTTATGACATAGGCATCATTTGTTGCTCGATTTATGGTATTTCATGATGTTTCTTTATCTTCAACTCTGCGTCTTTTTGCAGCCTGCTGCTCTCAAGATGGGTACAATGATGGGAGTTTTCGTTCCCTGTTTGCAAAACATATTAGGAATTATATACTATATCCGTTTCACATGGTAAGACTGCAAAGTCCTTGGTGTTGCACAACAGACTGCAAAGTCATCATCGCCTGTCTTAATCTGTTCAATTTTCAGGATTGTTGGCATGGCTGGTATCGGACAAGGCCTAGTATTGGTATTGCTCTGTGGCATATGTACATTCTTGACGACAATATCGTTGAGTGCTATTGCAACAAATGGCGCAATGAAAGTAATTCTTTTTTTCTGTTCTATAACCGGATTTTTTTTTTGAAATAAATCTGTGTAATCATAGTTAAAGATATCCTTCCTGCCATTGGGTCTCTGGTCCATAGTTGGCACCCCTATTACTTTTCTTTTTCTTTTTCTGATTGAACAATAGTTAGGACATCAAGTTTATTCTGTAATAACTTTTGCACTACTTCCAGGGTGGAGGACCATATTACCTTATTGGTCGCGCTCTTGGTCCAGAGGTTGGGATAAGCATAGGTTTATGCTTCTTCCTTGGCAATGCAGTTGCTGGAGCTCTGTAAGTGTAAATCCTGGATCCTTCCAAGGAAACTCCCTTGGTGACTTCAATTGCGTTAAATTGCTGGGGCTCTGCTCAGTTTTACTAGGTCGCCAAGTGCTTCTAATAACTACTTATCAATGTAGGTACGTTTTGGGTGCTGTGGAGACTTTTCTAAAAGCGTTCCCGGCTGCTGGAATTTTTAGAGGTATTACTGTGAAACTTGTAAGAATTGAAACCTGTTAACTAAATACAACCCTTAGTAATTTGCCAATGCTTTTATCTTCTGTAATATTGTTATCTAAGCCAACACTTTATCATGCTAGTCTTGACGTCCGAGACTTGTATCATCAATTTGTTGGAAATGGTAAAGGGTATTTACAATCAAGGAAACAAAAGACTATATTATGGTTATTAACTTCTGAGTTTTACTAACAAAAATTTTAACTTCATTTACTATAGCCTACAAGTCACATTTGTTCATTTAGCTGCCTTTCATTTCTAATGGCAGAGACTATCACAAAGGTTAATGGAACAGCAGTTGCCGAATCAATAGGAAGTCCAAACTCACATGACTTGCAGATTTATGGAATTGTTGTGACGATTCTTCTATGCTTCATTGTGTTTGGCGGTGTGAAGATGATCAATCGGGTTGCACCTGCTTTCCTTGTACCCGTTTTGCTCTCCATTTTCTGCATATTCATCGGGATATTTTTGGCAAAGACAGATGATCCTGACAGTAAGCCTTTTCTGCATATTGTTGGAAATAGTCAGGGAGTTCACTTTCCCCCAAATTGTTAACCTTCCTTTTTCTCCCTTCTTATGATTTGAGCAGCTGGAATTACGGGCTTGCGTTTAAAAAGTTTTAAAGATAACTGGGGTTCTGCTTATCAGATGACAAATAATGCGGGAATTCCTGATCCAACGGGAGGCACGTATTGGAGTTTCAAGTGAGTCGCTTCGAGAAATTGTGATACCTATGATAGTGAAACTCTAGTCTTGGTTTCTAGTTAATGATTATCTATCTGGTTTTACTTTGAAATTTATTTACTCTTGTCGTTGGGTTTTTTTTCAGTGAGTTGGTGGGTCTATTTTTCCCTGCCGTAACAGGAATTATGGCTGGTTCAAATCGATCAGCCTCACTGAAAGATACACAAAAATCAATTCCTATTGGAACGTTGGCTGCCACTCTGACTACAACCGTACTGTATTTGATCTCTGTGTTGTTTTTTGGAGCTGTTGCGACCCGTAACAAACTTTTGACTGATAGGTAAAAATGTTATTCCTCGTGAGGTTGCTTTTTTGGTTTCATAGCTGATCTGTTGTGTTTTGTTAGGCATAAGTGTACTGGAGAATTGAAAAACCCACTTATCACTTGAAAGAAAATATAAAATGGCTTCATGGTCTTAGTATACTACACAAAACTACTAGGGGCCTACAGAAGCTGTAGTTTTCTTATTTTATTGGTCAGAGTAGATTTTGGTACTGCTTGCAGAGACTTGTTCTTTTAGCTCTTCAACACCTAGCGAACTATCATGCATTGAATAATTTTCCTCTATGTTGCAGGCTACTTACTGCTACGATTGCTTGGCCTTTCCCTGCCATTGTTCACGTTGGAATCATCCTTTCAACCTTAGGGGCTGCTCTCCAGAGTTTGACAGGGGCCCCACGGTTACTTGCAGCTATAGCAAATGATGATATTCTCCCCATCCTGAATTATTTTAAAGTTGCAGATACAAGTGAACCTCACATAGCGACGCTTTTCACAGCATTTATCTGCATCGGATGTGTTGTTATTGGAAATCTGGATCTTATCACACCGACAGTGACTATGTTTTATCTTTTATGCTATTCGGGGGTAAACTTGTCTTGTTTCCTGCTCGATCTTCTTGATGCTCCAAGTTGGCGTCCACGGTGGAAATATCATCATTGGAGCCTTTCCTTTGTTGGAGCCTCACTTTGCATAGGTATGAATCTTCAAATACTCATTGGAGCTTGTCTTACCTGAAGCTTGAGATGTCTTATTGTAAAGATTCTTGTTGATTTTTCCTTTTTTTTCTCTACTGTTGCAGTGATCATGTTCTTGATTTCTTGGTCATTCACTGTGGTTGCCATTGCTCTTGCAAGTCTTATATACAAATACGTTGGACTAAAAGGAAAGGCCGGGGACTGGGGAGATGGTTTCAAGAGTGCATATTTTCAGTTGGCCCTTCGAAGTCTCAGGTCACTCGGAGGTACGCCACATTAGCCTGTAACCAATGTGTTATATAAATTTCCCTCTCTAGGTGTCATTACAGTGAACCTGCGTTATCTATTTGGCTCAATAATGGATGGTCCTTTTATCTAAGCTTATCTTATGCACTGTCATTTCTTCTAATTGCAGCGAATCAAGTGCACCCCAAGAATTGGTATCCAATTCCTCTTGTTTTCTGCAGACCGTGGGGACAGCTCCCAGAAAATGTTCCGTGCCACCCTAAGCTGGCTGATTTTGCCAACTGCATGAAGAAAAAAGGTCGTGGAATGTCGATCTTTGTCTCAATATTAGATGGTGACTACTATGAATGTGCTGAAGAAGCAAAGGAAGCCTGCAAACAACTAGCCACCTACATTGAGTACAAGCGTTGTGAAGGTGTAGCTGAAATCGTTGTAGCCCCAAACATGACCGAAGGGTTCCGTGGGATCATCCAGACGATGGGACTCGGAAATCTCAAACCAAACATCGTGGTAATGCGGTACCCTGAGATCTGGCGCCGGGAAAACCTAACAGAGATTCCATCCACGTTTGTTGGGATAATCAACGACTGCATAACAGCAAACAAAGCAGTTGTCATCATCAAGGGCTTAGACGAATGGCCAAACGAGTATCAGAGACAGTACGGAACGATTGACTTGTACTGGATTGTGAGAGACGGTGGTCTCATGCTTCTTCTCTCACAGCTTCTTCTGACTAAAGAAAGCTTCGAGAGCTGCAAAATCCAACTCTTCTGCATAGCTGAAGAGGATTCAGACGCGGAAGCACTCAAAGCCGACGTGAAGAAGTTCCTCTACGATCTGAGAATGCAAGCGGAAGTGATCGTGGTGACGATGAAATCATGGGACATAAGATCGGAAGGAAACAGCCAAGAAGATTCGTTGGAAGCTTTCGATGCTGCACAGAGACGGATCTCGGATTACTTGGGAGAGATCAAGAGACAAGGTTCGAATCCATTGTTGCCTAACGGGAAACCGATGGTGGTGAACGAGCAACAAGTGGAGAAGTTTCTATACACTATGTTGAAACTGAACTCGACCATACTGAATTACTCGAGGATGGCCGCGGTGGTTCTGGTTAGTCTCCCGCCGCCTCCGTTGAACCACCCGGCGTATTTCTACATGGAGTATATGGATTTGCTGGTGGAGAACGTGCCGAGGATGTTGATTGTGAGAGGGTATCACAGAGATGTTGTTACTCTGTTTACATAGTTTCTTCCTAATCTCATTTTATACCATCAAAGGCATATGCTTCATCAAGGTCAGCTTTTTCTTTTCCTCCGAACCTCTCCTCTCTATACATTTTTTTTTTTACAAGTTTAATATATAAATATAGATATTTCTTGTAGACAGTACAGAGAATTCCATTTTGTTGACAAGAATCGCATTGAATTTTGCTGGGAAGAACTGCATTGTAACTTAGTGCATAATCCAATGCCCATGATCAACTTAATATTTGAATTTTTATAAATGAATTTTGATGAAGTTGGGTTTAATCTAAGTAAAGCCTGTTATGATTTGTTAATTAAGAGACTATTCTTGTATCGAAGACTTCACAGCGGTTGTGTAAATTAAAACAAATCAGCAACTGCACAAGACATACATCAAAAACACTGATAAAGAGTTCAAAGAAAACCAGCAGTCTTCCATCGTACCAATAATGATAGAGTTGTCGTGAGAAAACATAATCATTGACTCAACCAAAGTGACATGAAAACACTAGTAAGACAAAGTTCTTCATATCAGCTTTGATATCCAATTATTGAAAGCATAAGTGTTGAGCAACATAAAATTGAAAGAATTTGAGTCATGAAAATTGATATATCTCAATCATAACACTATAAAAGGCTGACGACTTATTGTCTTACATGTACATTAAAATTGTTTGGACTTTGTTTCCTTTCAAGTCTTAAAAAACCTAAATCATGAACTTATAATTAAGTAAACCACTAAGCATAGCGTGAGAAGTTGTATCAACAACTGTTGTCTGAAACATACAAAAGATTTTAATATCGAAAATATGCTGAATCCAATAGACTTGTCTCGTTAGGTCTCCCAGCGACGCTTCTTTCCTTCTCCGTGCCTGGATCGTCTGGGAGCTTCGTCTTCGTCTTCACTTTCACTCTCTTCGTTCTTCACACTGTTTCCAACCTCAAACTGCTCCATATCATGAGATGTCTGTTGATCCGCCGCCATCCCTCTGTCATCGCTTCTCTCAGGTGTTCTCTGGTTTGTGAGGCCAGGACGTGCTCCTGGCGGATAATACATTGGCCTGCCTCCTCCTCGAGGACCATTTCCCATTCCTCCCATAAGCGGTCCACGTCCCGGGCCTCCCATCATGTTATAACCACCATGTGGAAACTGTTGCGGAGGCCTACCAGGAAACATCATCCCCGGTACAGGTCCTCTGAAATCACCACCAAACCTCGGTCCATACGGTCCAAAGGGCCTTGGACCCATACCAAATGGATCTGGCATACCGTTATATCCACCGGGTCCATAGGGAAACGCATCGCCAGGGCCCATTACCCCAAGAGGGAAACCTCCCATTCCGGGCATTGGTCTGATCCCGCGTCCTAAAGGCATTTGAGGAGGCCACATCATTCCTCTTCCTCTTCCTCTGCCTTGAGGACCCCCCGGCATGTTATCTTCTTCATCCTCGCTTTCATCTTCTTCCTCTTCCTCTTCTTCGTTGTCTTCAAACGGGACTATGTCTGGATTCTCAGCTCTGCTCTCTGGATTCACACCCTTTGCTTTTTCTTCTTCTCGTTTGGCTTCTGCAGCTATGGAGATTGCCTTTGAATTCATGGGAAAGCGAAAAAGTTAACACCCCTAATGAAAAAATCTTAGAAGAGACAGAAGTCAACAGTAAACAAAAAGCAGATGGAACTCATTTCTTCTAATGTGTCATAGATAATACTCGTCGGAACAAAGGAAAAACAGAAGAGAGTATATACCATAAGCTCGCTATCTGGTTCAAGATAAAGCAAGGAAGCCAGCTCCCCACCAATGGAGGGCTCTAACTCCTGACAATCTCTGCTTATCTACACAGCCATTGAACCATAAGAGTAAGATGACGGTGATTAGTTTACACGCAAATACTCAAAACCAGAAACATTACACAACAAACCATCACTGTATCAGTAGTAACATGGAGCAATTTAGCTGCTGCGGCCAGTGTATTGATATAAACAGTAATATGTCATGAGTTGTATTTAACAAGCGATGCTACTTCCATATAAGAGACCAATTAGAGCAGCGTAGATAAAAAAAAAGGTCACGTACCTTCACAGGTAAGTTTTCATTGTAAGGGTTCCTCAAATTCCGAGTTTTGTGGAAGGATAGTTCGCACAACTGCAATGATAAGAAATACAATCACTCATATAAGTCAGCCGTTGATTCTGCATGAATTACAAGGGCATCTCCTTTTAGCTCTTAGCAACGTGTGTTGTTAGAACCAATACCAGAACAGAGAAACAGAGAAGTAAAAAAAGTGGGAAAGCATGTGTTGACATCGGTGGTGTAAAAAAGCCACACTGGCTTTTCAAGCAAGGATGAGACTTACTAGGAAGTGCAAGACCATATAGGTTCAATCGCAGAGAGAAGAACTAAATTAAACACCGGGACTCAGAGAAAGGACTACTGAATAAAGGGAGAACTTAGTCACAGTGTATACCTTTAACCATTTAACTGAAAAATTCCGGCCATACTGTGCAGTTCCATGTTCATGTTTCCAGTTTCCTCCACCAATGTAACCACCAATTCTGGATGTCATCTTAGCACAGCCCTATAGCATCATGTGAAAGAAAAATAAGTTTTTAGAATTATAACGCTGCCTACAAAATACAACCCTGTGTAGAGGAAGTTTACAGAAAGGTAACCACTGATACAGATGAATAGATACTTAGTATTTCAACATAAGGACACTAGTTGCTGCTTAAACCAATAAACTACCTGGAAATGCCGTGTCCTATTGACAGAGAATATCAGAATCACATTTTCCACAGAGTCAAAAGCTTCATTAAGTTTAGCTTCATTGCTTCTTTGAGTAGCCCAGACTCCTTGTTGCACAGATAATTCAAAATTTTCTCGATTGCAACTTTTAACTACAAAATACCTGAAAATCCAATATTAAGCATGACCTATATAGCAGAAGGTAAATATATATTACAGTCAACGAATCCATAAAATCAACCATACAGCAACTATATCAAACTATAGTATAAAATATCAACAAAAAAACAGTATCTGTAGTCCACCATTTGCAAAGCCTAACTCCCACATAATGCAAATAATGGAGAAGAAGAGAGAAGAAGGGAGAAGAAGAGACAAATAATGCACAAAGAAAAATCAGAGTGCAAAGCCAGCCCTGGGGCAGGTCGGTTTTTATTGAACAATTGAGGGAAACTATAATCTCTGAAATTTATCTCACTGCCAAAGAAAAGTATCCATAACATGAAGGTTTAAGAATTCTGAACTTGCAAAATAGAAACCAATGATTCAATAAACGGACCAATAACAGCGTCTTGATAGAGATATACAGAGACATTTTTTACATAACCCAATTAAAAAACTTGGAACTCTGAACACACCTATTTACCCCTTGAGGCAAAGGATGAGATGACCTGTTTGTTTGATCACCGGGGTTTTGCATCTGAGTCTGGCTGACCTGATGTTGCGATTGCTGAGGTTGTTGTTGTTGCTGCAAGTTACCTGATTCTTGTGGCTGTCCTTGCGTCGAACCTTGCACCTGAGGTTTATCTGCTAGCTGTGGAGCAACGTTTCGAGGTTGATAGAACCTATTTGGTCCATAGTTGTATGAAGTCAACTGTTGTATCTTCTGAAGAACTTCCTCAACCGGAGGTGGAGGCCCAGGAAGCTTGGCATGCCTATACCTACACTCAGGACCATTGGGACAAAATCCCAGCTTGTACCTGCCAAAATATAATCCCAAGACATCAGCTTCAGCAAACAAAACAAAGAATCAACATTTGCATAGGGCAACACATTCCATTATATACATTCAGAGGTTCAATCTTCTACTGGAATTGAAAATGAATAGGAGTGGTTAGTGTGCATACATATTGCATTCTTTGACATCTTCATTGGTGTGTTTATAAACACAGTCCTGCTCTCGGCATTCGCCGTATAGTCGAAAAAACCGGCAGATTGGCATACGAGCTTTATCGAACTGGTGGAGGAACCCACAGGCGTCACCTTTCATACACAGACCTCGAAGCCAGTGCCTGCAAACAGTCTGACGGAAACTCCGTCCCCTCCCAGCTCCAGCCACCGTCGCGGCGGAATGATCGTAGCTCGGTGCCACGTTAATAGCGGCGGAGGAAGAGTTTTCAGGCTGAGCAACGGGGACTGAAGCTGTGGGCTGGGCAGGTCCGGAATCGAGACCGCCTTCGAAATCGAAGCTGAGGCCATCGGCGTCCTCCATTGTTACTGAATCTCTGTAGATTCTTTTTTTTTCTAGGGATTCGATCGAAGAAGCGAACAGAGAAGAGAAAACAGTCGGAAAATGGGGAGCTTCTGATGTTGATTTGATACAAGGTTTTTATAAATCTGATCACCGGTTTGATCAGATTAAACCGGTAAAATGGGTGGTGCTGATTAAACCGGTGAACTGGGTGGTTTATTGAACCGTATGTATTTTTTTGACCGATATTTTCAGATTCCAAATTCTTTTAAACCGGTAAATTGGGTGGTTTATGGACTGCTTTCTAGATGGCTAGAAAGATGCAAATTTTTCTAACCATCAAAAAGCAAATCATAGAGAACTATTTGGAGATATAATGTTGACGTACGCATAGAAGAAATGTTTTAGAGAGTCAAGGAGTATACTTTCAAAAAAATTTGCAACTAAAATATGTTATGCAATCAGTAGTTGTAGGTCCATTTGTATTGTTTCTGTGCTTTGCTTGCTACTTTTGTGGTTGTATCCTATTTTCTCTTTTCTTCGTTAAACAACTTATAGCACCCACTTCAATTTGTTTAACAACTTGTAACAAATTTTTAAATCATTTTCAAAAAGGTACAAAATCGCTTGTGGTTTACTGATTCTCTTGGTTTAATATGTCTTACCAGCATTGTATTTGTAATACAGTATGCGAAATAGTGTAAACACAGTAATGTGGTCACCTTTTCCATTTGTCAACACAGTATTTATAAGAGATGCAAACTTGGTAAGTGTAATAAATACGCAATGTTGAATATCGACCACTACTTGAGACGGAAATAGCAAAAAATAAATTTAATTCGGTTTTTTAAAGAAACACATGTATAAATCTTTTTATTTCTTTTTTCTTTTATTTTTTTCTGTCTTCCTTCTATCTCTAAGCACTACCCTCCCGCAATTGAAGGTTGCTCTTCGTCGCTCACATCCCAATCTCTTCGATCTCAGATCAATTTTCTGAGATTTTCTTCCTCGCTCGGCGATTACGGATTCCACCGCTCGGTTTACTTCCTTCCCGTCGAGTCTTCATCTTTCATTTCTGGGCGAAATTTCCCTTATCTGTTAGGGTTTCGAAGATCCGAATCTCTGAACGCGTGGCAATTCGACGTTTTTTCCCTTGAGCTGGAAAGATGTTCTGGCGAATGGCGGGATTGTCGACGGCGTCTGCCGTGAGTTTTCTTCTCCCTCACCTGTTTTTTAACGATCGTGTGTAATATTTCTGTGATAAGGCACTCAATTGAGATAAGTTTTCGCTGTATGTTTCTTTCGTGGACGCGTTTCTGATTGATGGATTTAGCGCTTAGGGGTTGTACGGATTTTTGGGTTTCATTTCTGGGAATTTTTGGCAGCTTCCTCTGTTTCGTTAGACGAATATGTTGTAGGTGGAGATATCATTGGTTTCCGGTGTCTGGATTTCTTGGCTTATAAGTAACTAAATGTCCTCGTGCACCTAATTCTTGATGATTTATGAGCACTGTCTTCGCTGGAAGTGGGAGACTATTCCCTTCTTGTTGAAGAGATTAAGTTGTTTTCTGAGTCTGCATTTCCTAGACCATTTTTGTATAAGGGAAGTGAAGAGAACATTGTTGATGTGATTAAAGGATATTTTTTTAAATGATGGAATTCCTCTTCAATAGTTTCGTCAGATTGTTTAGCTGATCTAGTGATACTAACCCATTTCCATCAAAACAACTTCAAATTTATGCATGGGTGTGTCGTATTTTTGCTGTTTTGATATGGATAGTTTGTGGAGTATCATGTGACTTGTTTTTCTTTATCTATTGGAACTTATTCATATCATGCAATTTTATGTTGGCTGCAGTCACGAATTTTTGTTCTTTTTAAAAAAAAAAATGTGCAGGTTGAGGCAATTTTGGACAAAGATAGCTTCACATTAGAAGAACTTCTTGACGAGGATGAAATTATTCAAGAATGCAAAGCCCTGAACGGACGGCTCTTAAATTTGTATGCTCTGTAACCACATTTTCTTTTCTTTTTTTATGCTTCTGTACCTTTTGGGGGGAGGACTAGAAATGCAATTATTCATGCATACAAAACTGGCATTCGGGTGACTTTTGGCGAAATAAACGTTTGAGATTTTTTCTTAAACATCTTTTATAAAACCAGTGAAGTATTTCTACTTTCACTCATTACATACGACATACTAGTTTTTTGCATCAGATATAATACTTCTGCCATCCGGTTGTGCAAAATAGTCTCCATATTCTGCACATAAATTGGATTTCAAACCTACTGTCCTAATTTATATTCTCTTTTTCACTAGCATGCCGCTCTGTCTTGACTGTTGGATTGATTTTATTCCAGCTTGAGAGAAAGAGTGCAAGTGGAACAACTGATTAGGTACATAATAGAGGAGCCTCTGGAGGATGTGGAAAAGAAGCGAACATTCAAGTGAGTGTTTTGGACAAATGTTGTTGACTTGTCGTTTCTTTGATGAATTAACAGTTGATGTTTCTAAATGTTTTTCAGGTTTCCTTTCATTGCATGTGAAATTTTCACATGTGAGATTGAAATGATTCTAAAAACCCTAGTAGAGGATGAGGAGGTAGACATTGACTCTGTTACTTGATCATATGTTATTACTTTGGAAATGGTTATGATTTAGGGTTTCTTACATCTCGTGATGTCTTTTTTGCAGTTGATGTCATTGCTGTTTTCATTTTTGGAAGCTAAAGAAACTCATAACTCATTGCTGGCCGGGTACTTCAGCAAGGTATTTTAGCATTCAACTTTATTAATTATCAGAAAATTCATGGAGAACTCTCCCATGATCTTATAGGGCTGTGTAGAGTTTTCTTCCAAGTGTACTCTCTTACATCTCCTATTACTAGGTTGTCATTTGTCTACTGGTGCGGAAGACGATCCCTTTCATGCTGTTCATACAAGTAAGTTGTTTTCTTTCTCAGATTAGAATTTCCGTTCAAGGATGGCTTGAACTTATCTAGAGTTAGTTTTTTTTTTGCTTATCTTTGTCGAGATTTTTGAACCATTAGCTAGCTTCTTTCTTGTACAGTTAGGATCTTCTGTGTAACTCTAAAAAATGCAGTTAAATAGTCAGTGATATTGATGAAGATCTGTATTGCTATTTAGTTAATGAAAGAGCTTCTTCATAATCAACAATATCCAATCCAACTTTGTTGATAGAATTGTGGTAATTAGTACATATGTTAACAATGCTTTGAGCACCATTTAATCATCTGGAGTTCATATTATCAATTCACATTATGATTAACCTTGACTTTCTCGTGCTACCAGGATCATCAAGAAATACTGAAGCATCTTGTTGATTTGATTGGTATTACATCTATAATGGAGGTTGGTCTGCACTTTGATTTGTGTTTTAGGAACTCCTGATTTGGGCTTTACGTTTATATTATATCTACATGAGAACATACTGAATAGTTGAGAGAAATGTTATGTTTTCCTCTTATTCAAAGTACTTATGATTCTATCTGCGACAACAAAAATAATAGACCAGTGAGAACAATGTTAAGTACTGCTAATATTGCACTTACCTTTGGCATGGTATTGCTGTATAACTATTATTGTTACACCAGCAACTTTTTTCAATTGCTATAGTCCGTAAACAATGAAGGTTGTAGACCTGTATAGATACCCAGAGGCTGTATAGTACTAAATTTTCTATATAATACTGTATTTTCTATGGTTTCCTAGTTTCTAACTTACTTCTTGGTGCTCAGGTTTTAAAACGACTGCTCGGTACTGATGAACACCTATATTCAAACTACACAAGTGCAATGCAGTGGGTAGAAGATACAGATGTTTTAGAGATGATTGTAGACAAGTTTGGCTCCTCGGTACGTTTTAGAGATGATTGTACTCTTCTTTCAATATGGGCTAGTCTTATGGATTTTCTCCTGTATTTCAGAATTATTATATCATCACAGGCAATGCTATATACTGAGATGTCGATTATTTTTCTTGTTATATTTTGTAGGATTGCCCCGAGGTACATGCCAACGCAGCTGAAACTCTTTGTACTGTAGCAAGATACGCACCCCCTGGTCTTGCAACAAAACTTTCCAGCCCCAGGTAGCCTTCTGTCAGCTTTGCCTATTGTTTTTTCGGCCGTTCATGCTTTTTAATATTTCTAATTTATTGACTTGTTGTTTTTTTACTTGTACAATTTTATGTAGCTGCACTGGAAGGTTGTTAAAACATACTTTAGAAAATTCACGGCCTAAGTCTGTTCTGGTTAATGCGTTGTCTGTATGCATATCTCTGCTGGATCCTAAGAGGTTTACATTGGGGACTTATCATATATATGGTCGTCAACTAGCCCATGGAAGCATGGTAACTAATCCGGAGACAGTTGAAGGAATGCTTGGAAGCTTAGGTGAGCAATTACAGCATGGTTATTAAATTTTCATACGTAGTTGCGCTTGTGTGTTGACTTCTTGAAGGTAATTTTCCCTATTGTGGGGATGTGGGTTGTTTTGGAAGGAAGAAAAATGGGTTTGTTTTAGTATGCGCATTTGTTGCTTGTTGGTATGAAAGTTTGTGCGCCTGTATTTTTTCCTGATTGTGCTGAGACTTGCTAGTCTCTTATCGATGTGGAAGACTATAATGTCGGGCATTTTGCTTTGACGACTTTTATATGTCTTTTTGCTGTTATTTTGAGCTTTGCAATGTTGACTACTCTCATTTTTGCTGCTATGAAAACTATGTAATATGCTTCTACCCTGTACAGGTGATTTACTTACGCTTTTGAATGTTTCATCTGCTGAGGGTGTTCTGTTTACAACCTATGGCAAGTTGCAACCACCTCTTGGTAAACACAGATTAAAGGTACTTTGCTGTTCTCAGTTGTATGATTTTCTTTTCTAATTGTAATGTATCTATCACTGTTATGGCTATGGTTAATAATTTCAAATTTCTGAATTACATTCATTCATTAAACAAAAATTTGACGCTGTTTCTTTTTCCTTAGATTGTAGAGTTTATTTCAGTCTTACTCACAGTCGGTAGTGAAGCAGCAGAGAAGGAAGTAATTCGACTTGGAGCGGTGAAAAGAGTTTTGGATTTGTTCTACGAGTAAGTTGGAAATTCATTTCTTAGTTGGTGATATGCAAACTGCCATGCTAAATTTTGATGCAATTGTGTCTCAGGTATCCATACAACAATTTTTTGCATCACCACGTGGAGAATGTAATTCACTCATGTTTAGAGAGCAAAAACTCTCAACTTCTTGATCATCTTCTCAGTGAATGCAACCTTATTGGGAGTATACTAGAAGCGGAAAAAGACTCCACATTAACTGCTGCTGATTCTGATAAGGTGAAGACACTGAATTGCTGCTATTTTTCAGGGTTTGGCACTGTTACCTATTAACTTGGTTTACGTGTGATGTGTTTAGCTTCAGCCTACAGTCCCTGCAGAGGGTAAAAAGCCACTCAGGATTGGAAGCATTGGTCATTTGACTCGTATCTCGAACAAACTTCTTCAGCTAGCTAATACCAACGCCGAAATTCAGTCACATTTGCAGGTATATCGCAATTCTATTATTTTCGTTGCTTGTCGTACATTCATGTGCACAAAATGGTTTGTTTATGGGACATGGAAATTTTCAATGTATCTCCTTTCAGTTGCTGTATTATTTCTGTAGAAGGTCAGATGGTCCAAAAAAAGTTGTTCAGGGCTTTACCCCTGTTTTTGATGTCTCTCAAAGATATTTCCTTGATAGCTTGTTTGCATGCGAAATGTTGGAATAACTCTAGCCTCGTACAGTGCTGGTCTTTAGTGTCAAACTCTTCGTATCTCGTTCAAAATTCCTTTTGTACGTTTTTTATCAGGAAAATAGCAAATGGGTGGACTGGCAGACAGATGTCCTATCAAAGCGTAATACATTGGAGAATGTCTATTCTTGGGCATGCGGGTATGTATTTTTTCCTCTTATCGGGAGTTTTCTGTTTTTTAAATTATGACCGAAAGCAGAGGTTATATTTGAAATAGCTTCTTCTTATAGAAGTTTGTCACATTTGCTTAATCTGCTTTAAGTTAAATGTGATTGCACATTCCCAGTAGTGGCAATAAGAGCTTGCTTCTGGGAAGTTTCTTAGAGGATGATAAATGTTACAATGAAGCTGTAGTGATGGTTGGTATAGTACATAGATAATTCCATTCTCTGACGATTCTCCTCTGTAACAGGAGGCCAACTTCACTCCATGATCGTAATAGAGATAGCGATGATGATGATTACCATGATAGGGACTATGATGTGGCAGCCTTAGCAAACAACTTGAGCCAGGCCTTTAGATATGGGATTTACAGCAACGATGACATGGATGAGGTGATGTTCTTGTGTTTCCTTGTCATACCAGCTACTTTGTGATCTTTTTTTTCCGCATACTTCAGTAATTCATCAAAGGTCATGGGTGTAGATTGTTGAGACGAAGGAGATAATCGATTCAGGAATTTTCTAGGAATATAGTTTATTTTGCGTTGGTCTTTACTCCTGTTATAGTTCCTGAATTATGATACATAGACAAATCTGATGCAACCAAAAAACTTTATTTGGTGGATAGTTAAAACCGTCACTTCTTTCTCCAGTCATTGTACTTGATTGACCTCTGGATAGTTAACATGCGATTTTCCTACCATCTTCTCTTCCTTATTATCTCTGGGTAGGTTAACATGGATAAAGTTGTCAGTGCTTTTGATGTTTGTTGCATTCTTTTACTGAAGCTGTAAGAGGACTCCCATGTTATGACAGATGTTCGACCATTAACATTTTTTATTTATCCACTGCAGACCCAAGGCACTATGGAACGCGATGATGAGGTATTAATAATCTTTTCCTTGTCTTTAGGAACTGAGACTTGACTTCCTAAAAGCTTGCTCATATGACGCTAACACCGCTTAAGACCTTCTGTGAGAAGATTTCATTTGTGGAACGATTAGGAACAGATTTTAGTTTGTTACCTTACCTCCTTTGTTATTTATTGCTGAGGACTCGCTCAAATTGTTTATTGCTGCTCCTGTGCATGTTCGTCTAAGCAGTCAATATGATAGCTTTATTGATTATGGTACATATGAAAAAGCTCTTATGAAGTTTGTGTTGCAGGATGTCTACTTTGATGATGAATCTGCAGAAGTCGTCATCTCTTCCTTGCGCCTTGGAGATGATCAGGAGAGGTAATAGGCTCTACTTTTCTTTTCTGGTAGAAATTAATCCATATCTATTTCCGTTGATGCTCACCACAAACATGGTGGTTTTTTTGTAGCGATTCTCTCTTCACAAATTCAAACTGGTTTGCTTTCGATGAAGAAAAAGCTGCGAATGAGCAATCAGTGAGCTCAATGGCTTCCCCTTCACCCAATGCTGATGGAGATGGTGATGATGATGATGATGATGTCGTCATAGGTGAAGCCGAGGATGACTTCAAAGACACTGCAGGCTCTTCCCCGCCTACTGATATGGAAACAGAGGATTCTACATCAAAGAATCCTTCTGAAAACCCGAGTGAACCAGAACCTGAAAAATCACCTGCTTGGGTTGAATGGAGAGAGACCTCTGACTCCACTCCGCCTTCTTCCAACGCAGATGATGCTACCGTATTGCCCAATGGTGAGGTTCAAATCGACAAAGAGGATCATGGTGATGATACCGATAAAAAAAGTGAAGAGATTTCACCACCAGGTGCATGCGACGTTGAAATCACAGAGAAGTCACCAGAGGCAAGTGGCGATGAAACCACAGAGAAGTCATCAGCGGCAAGTAGCGTTGAAACCACAGAGAAGTCATCAGCGGCAAGTAGCGTTGAAACCACAGAGAAGTCACCAGAGACAAGTGGCGTTGCAACTACTGAGAGCTCTCCAGAGGCAAGTGGCACTGAAGTAACCGAGAACTTGGGCGATTCTGATGCGTCAAAACCAGCAGAATCTGAAACTCATGAGGATGCTCAAAGCTCTGAACCTACAAGCCCACAGGAGACAAAGAAGAACCAGGAAGCAGAGGTTACAGCAGTAGCAGATGCCAAAGAAACCGAAGAAGCTGTCAAGGAACCAGAGAAGGTAGTGTGAGGTATATTACACACACACAACCGGGTTTTATTTTAACTAGTAAAACAAAGTCCCTGATGATGCTTGGGTTTATATAGTTTGGTTAAGAGCTTTTGTCTGTTTCTGGTACGATTTATTATTCTTTTTTTCTTACTCTTCTTTTCCTTGTTCGTTTACTTTTCATTTGTATCATCTTTTTTTCTTTCTCAACATTATTGTCGACCAAAATTTGGTACTAGCTTATCATATTGATTAGTTGAAGTTTTTTACCTCATCAAGTGTGTTTTGTTCTTTGTTAATTCTCTTCTTGTTCCTGCTAAATTGTTTATCATCAAGGTACTTTAAGACCTCGTCATTTGCCTTTCTTCTTACACATAAATAACTTTAGAGTCAATCCAAACTGATGAACAGAGAAATTGCGTGGAAGGTGTCATCAAGTATTTGACAACGAACTTGAATAGTCTTGTTCAATACAGTAACAGAACACACAATTTAAAGTTTTTAATTTACACGTTTCAGTAAACGCCAGAATCAAGGAATGATGCATCGGATATGGAAACTAACAGTAGTTATGCGAAATGTATGATCAACTTTCCTTTTTGTTTTTTATTTTGAACAGATATGATCAACTTATTAATGTAAAATTCTGCCAAATATGGAAGGTTTATGGACTCTCCTCGTATATGAAAAGATTCAACAATGCCTATATAATTCTCCCAATCACCTTTGAGTTTAAGTTTAGGGTTTTCTTCTTCTTTCCTCCAAGCTAAGCTCCCTTCAATGTCAAACCCAAACCAATCCGTCCGGGTACGCTTCTTCTCAATATCTCAGTTTCTCTCTCTCTCTTTTTCAGTTGGCGATTATGATTTTCAGTGTAAATTTTGCAGACTTGCATACTAAAAGTCGATTTAAAGTGTTGTACCGGTTGCCAAAAGAAAGCAAGCACAAAACTGCAGACTATTTCTGGTATAAAAGAAAAAGGTCCAAATCTTTTTAACTAGGAGTAATCAATCATGAGATTTTAAAAAAGCTTTGGTTTTTTTCCAATGGAATTATAGGTGTAAGCGCAGTGGAGTATAATGCAGAAAAAGGGCTCATGACAGTCAGAGGTGACGTGGAACCTACGACTCTGGTTCAAAAACTTACAAGATGGGGCAAAAAAGCAGAGCTAGTCTCAGTCAATTACCAGCTTGATGATGATGATCTGCTAAGTGATTCAGAAGAAGACTTCAACGACGATGACGAAGACGAACAAGTAGAATGGGTACCTGATCCTAAACCCATGGAACGTGTAACCTTGAAGAAGAAGAAGAAGGGCATACTAAGTAAGTCTTCTCTTTTAGGTTGTTTCAGCCGTAAACCACCAGAGGTTGTGTTGCCTTTTCCAACGCAAAACCGAAACCAGCAGCGTATGTTTCCACCTATGCAACCACAACAACGACCACCACCATTTGGGACGATGTATCCACAACAAAGACCACAATACGGGATGATGAATCATCAACCAATGATGCAACAACAACCTCATCCGAGGATGCGGCAACAGCAACCACAAGGTCCGATGATGAATATGATGATGCAGCAACAACCACAAGGTCCAATGCCAATGGGATACAATGGGAATATGTTCCAGCCAACTCGGCCTTATTTCCTTAAAGATCTCAAAGCCAACCCTAGTCTGCATTACCAGAAGAGCTAGTCACTCTAACCCATTGTGATTAATAATTCTTTCTCACCTTAGGCTACTAATTTTTTTTCTGTTGATTATTATTATGTCCCTTTTGCTAAATACTAAGCAAAATAATGTTTTTCTTTTGTGGACTAATATCTCCAAAGTGTTAAAGGCAAACTTTTAAACAAAGAAAACAGAAATTTCTTAGTGTTTTAGACTCTCTCTGCATCCAACAAACCTGGTTTCATAGTTTTAACATTTGTATAAAGATGAGCTTTGTTTCTGTCAATAAACAAGAATCTTATTCATATATCCCAACTGATGAAATATTAAATCTGTGCCTATTGCTAGTACTAGTAGAATCTATCGTCTCTCGGAGAATACTTGGCCACTTGTCTTGAGCTTTCTCTGTTGCGCATCATGGTTTGCCACTTTAAGGGCTGTTTTCATGGTCACCCTCCAGATCTTTCAAGTATCCCATGAACATCAGAAACCCAAAAAGGAAGAATCCACCTGAAAAGCTCTCTCCACCGCCTCCGCCACCACCACCCCCACCATCATCCCGAGGCGGGAACCCGCTCCCACCGTCATCAAGATTTGGAGATTTATCCTTTCCTGATGTTCAAACCAAAAGGCTTTATTAGACTTAAAAGTTCTGAAGATACCAATTATAACAGAAACGCCTTTAAATCTCGGTTTTCCAACATGAATAAGAACCATAGCAAACCACAATATGAGTTCTAGTTAAGTGTTATATATTAGCTAGATTCATGACAGATCATATGGTCCTAAGCCTTTCTTGTTTGTACATGAATATGTGCAACAATTAAGTCAACAAAGAGAAGGATGCAACAAATTTACCAGGAGCTTGTGTGATTGTTCCTGATTCCCTAGTAACAGTCTGTGTTTGCCCTTGACTTTGACTGCATTTTGTGTTCTGCAGAACATAATCAGAATACGTAAACAGCTTTAGCTTTTCAGAGACACCAATGAAGAGAATACAGCAAAAGGATCTTCTTTTGGCGAAATAAGCGAAATGCTGTTTGATGACATGCAAATTATGAAGCTATCTCAACAGCTAAAGAGTCAACACACTTTTAACATAACAAAGCAACATTACATATAAAGACATGAATATAGAACCTACCAGTGCAGAGTTACATGCAAAGTCGGGTCTTTTGCTCTTAGAGCCGAAACCAAATCCTTCCCTAGCAATGGATTGCACTGTGCCATTTCCAACAGCCTTGACAGAAGGAAATTTTCTCTGGTTCAACGGTTGGAGTGGCATAGAAACTCTTGTAGGATAATAACGCCCACGAACATATCCTGTCACACACGACGAAAGAGCTTTTAGACTTCAATATTCAATCGAAGAAAGAATCCAAAGCTTGAACAATCTGACTAAGCAAGGATCTAATGTCGACATAAACAATTCTCAGTCATCAATCATTAACAATCCAAGCTTAACTTGTATTTCACAGGATAACTTGTACAATTTCACAGGATTTTCCAAGCAATGTTCCTCAACGCACACCGATTATAAAACTTAGTAGCAGTAAGCAATCAAGAAGCATAAACAGAACTAAGAACACAATTTTCTGCTAACATTTACACGTGAATCGAAGAGTAAACGTAACATACCATTAGCCGGAATATGTGTAGAGCGAGGAGGGAGGTACACCAATGGTTGTGCACCAATACACAATGAAGGACTCATCACCGGCATATCTGCAAAAAGGATCAACAGTCAAAACCAAAGACTAAACCTTTAGCCAATTTCACTCACAGGAGAAAACGCCTAACAAAAGAGCAAAAGGGGCAAAACAGCGAATCAATCTGCGGTAGCATAAAAAAAAAATGCGAAAATGAAATTTACGAGTGCACATATAAACTCGGATTCATCAGTTTCCCCAATACAAATCGAATTCGATAGGTGTTTATCCAGAAGAATCAGAGAAAACTAAAGGGAAAAAAACTGGGATTTGGTGGCTCCTCGAAGTTTCTCGATCATAGAGGAGGAAAAGTAGATTCTAAAGAAGGAAAAAGATAGGATCGCGAATCGCACCTGAAGAATCAAACCCAGAGAAGAACAACAAAAAACGGGACTTTCCTAGGGTTTATGTAAATTTCTCGCACAAATCAATTTTAGTCTTGCTTCTAATGCAAGAATTATAAATTGCTCAGGGGAAAAAAAAAAACAATTCCCCATGTAGGTCGGTTTTGAATAAAATGAAAAATATTTAATTTTTATTTTCGAAAGAATAATAAATTAAAAAATCAGAGATTGCTGATCGGAAAAATTAAAACCCTAATTTCAGCAGATCTTCTTCTGTGTTCCAATTGAAAGCAACAACCGTGAATCAGAAGCTGAGGTTGGGGAAATTTCTTACCGGCGGCGATAATGCTTGGTGGATTGTACGGGGATCTTCCTCCGCCGACCGATGATGAGAAACCCAGCGGCAACTCCTCCGTCTGGTCAAGTAGTACCAAGATGGCTCCACCTACGTTACGCAAACCACCGGCTTTTGCGCCGACGCAGACAATCCTGAGACCTCAAATCAAGCCCAAGCCTATCGTGTCGCAGTACAAGGCTCCTCCTTCTTCTTCCTCTTCCTCCTCCTCCTCCCAATCGGTGCTTACTCCGGCGAACGATGCGGCACCGGCACCTTCGCAGCCGGCATTGGTTGGTATGACTTCATCGGTGATTGAAGAGTACGATCCAGCGAGACCGAACGATTACGAGGAGTACAGGAGGGAGAAGAAGAGGAAGGTGATGGAAGCTGAGATGAAGCGCGAGCTGGATAAGAAACGAAAAGAGGAAGAGGAAAGGGAGAAGAGAGAGAGAGAAGAGAGGGAGAAGGAAAGAGAAAGAGAAAGAGAGCGCGATTACAACAACAGCGAGTCACGGCTCAATATCTCCGGCGAGGAAGCGTGGAAGAGACGCGCGGCCATGAGCGGTGGCAGTGGGAAGCGAAGATCTACGTCTCCGCCGGGGAACGTGGACGGGTTTAGCATCGGAAAATCGGAGACGATTGGATTAGGAGTTGGGGCAGGTGGGCAGATGACAGCAGCGCAGAAAATGATGGCGAAGATGGGATGGAAACAAGGACAAGGGCTTGGCAAATCTGAGCAAGGGATCACAACGCCGTTGATGGCTAAGAAGACGGATCGTAGAGCTGGTGTGATTGTGAATGCTAGTGAGAACAAATCGTCGGAGAAGAAGGCCAAGACTGTGAATATCAATGGAGAACCAACCAGGGTCTTGCTTCTTAGAAACATGGTATGCATTTCTAAAAAAACATCTCTTTAACTTTTGCATTCTTTAAGTTCATAATTTCTCTTCGGTTGGTTCTTAATTGTGCCTGCCACACTCGAATTTGGATGAGTGTGGACTTCAAATTGTTGGGAGGATGATAAATTGAGAATTCTTTGTTGGTGGAGCTCGTAGCTCATTGCTAGTAGGCTCATTGTGTTGCTTAGGTTTATGTTAGCCTAGTGAACTGCTGGGTTGTTGTATAATTTAGGTTGCGAATTATTTTGGAGACAACCTTTCAGCTCCAGAATTTACAGTATCTTCCCCTGGAATAGTCACTTAGGCATTTGGGATCTTACTTTACTTTTTGGGACAAGCCTAAAGTGAGCCCTGAGGATTTGATTGCCAAATAATAGAGTGGAGAGGTTACAAATGAAACCTGAGAGTTGCCATGTGATTGAAGGAAAATTTTATTGGTTTCAGGATACTGTAATTTGTGAAACGATTCTTGACTAGTATAGAATTATTGAAATGTGAATGCATCTTCACATGGATTGTCATAAATGTAGACATAGCTCTTGTGACCCTGTTTGTGGTTGTTCACCATGTCAAGCACTTGTTTCAAAGCAAAGATGATATCTTTCTTTTGCATACGTATTGTACTCTGCAACTTTCGACTGACCTAATCACTCGTTTTTTCTTTGCGGCTGAAGGTTGGGCCAGGAGAAGTAGATGATGAGCTAGAAGACGAGGTGGGATCAGAGTGTGGCAAATACGGAACAGTGACTCGAGTACTGATATTCGAGATCACTGAGCCTAACTTCCCTGTGCACGAAGCAGTGAGAATCTTTGTTCAGTTTTCAAGGCCCGAAGAAACAACGAAAGCCCTTGTGGACCTCGATGGCCGATTCTTTGGAGGAAGGACCGTGCGTGCAACGTTCTACGATGAGGAGAAATTCAGTAAAAACGAGTTGGCTCCAGTTCCTGGTGAAATCCCTGGCTATTAACCAAGTGATAATAATAGAGAAAGAAACGATAGAAGATGGGGTTTAAAATTATTACTTTGTAAAGCACTTTAGAAACTTTTGGGATCTATCTATCTGTTTATTGTTTGTTCAATTTGCCTCGTTATGATCAAGAAATGCTCCCTCTTTTCAATCTGTTTTGACCTTCAAAACGATTTTTGCATTTGAATTGATTGATCAATCAAACAGGCCGCTTTGATTAGATTGTTGTAGGCTAAATGTGAATAAAACTAAACTGGTCGACTAGACCCCGACCATTTAGCTAAGATTGGTCCATTTAGCTCGATCCATAAAGCCTGATTTTGTGTGCAGAATCGTATTTTCGTAGAACCAGGCCCAAAACAGATATATCTATATACATATCAACTGGTATCACATTATCGATGAACTGAAAGTAAGTTTTAAGAAATTTCGCGATTAAATTTTGTTCATCTTAGTTGCTTGGTTAAACAAAATTTTGTAACGATGAAGAATACGCATACTCCAGTCTAGTTGATGGATGAATTCGAAATTCATTATGGCATACCAGTTACATTCAAGAACAGTATTATCAAATTGACTGACACATGTTGTAAGTGTGTATGGGTCAACAAGTTTATTGTTTACAACTGTTAAAATTTGTCGTTCAGAGATTCAAACCAACATCGACATCATTTGTACGGATTAATTTGTCCATTTTGAACATATACCGCTTAAAAGGTTTAAACCAACACTGTCTCAGCCTGCAGCGAACAACCCATCCTATATCTCATGAAAAAATCAAAAGTATTGCTTGTTTTGGTGCTGCACAAAATTCAATGTTTTAAAAGCTCTCAATCATCAACCCTACATTTATATTTTCAGCATCATATTTATATACTCATAAATTATATTTTATTCAGAGTTCAAACTTCGGAACCTATCAAAAACCCTTTTATGCATTTACACACTTTCACCATCCCTTTTGTAATACTAATAAATACAACAAACTACCAGAAAACAAGAATAAATTAACCTGCAGAGCACGGATAAAAATACTGTTGAGATTTGAGAAACCTGAAATTATAATTAAATAGGTCAAATAAACTAATGAGAAGAAATTAAATGGGGTCAAACTGACATTTAGCCAATAAGATACCACTGCATAACCCAGCAGTTTTTGTTACTGCTTACCCCAAACAAAAACGAAAATACTGAAATAGTTACTACTTACTACACCCCACTCTGGACTCTGGAGTATTTATTTGTTCTGAGTTTTGAGTATTTTGGAAGAAAAATCCTAAAGAAAAGACAAAGCACAAAGGACAACACAAAAAAAAGTTTTATATTGTTGATCCTCTAGGGTTCTAGGTTATGCATATAATTGCACTAATGGAACTAGCTATCTGTTACTCCATAATTTTCAGTATATATAATACTTATGTTTTTTCTATATAAAATGCATGTTCAATTGCTATATACGACCGGTTCCATCGTATGATACGATTCGTATCGGACTCATTAATATATACTTTCCCGCCGTTTTATAAAGTAACTGAAACATGTGATATGAATCATGTGACATTATATAAAAATAATTTTGTTCCATCAAACTGTAGCAAACATGTTGAACAAATTTTGAATGGATAATATTGGTGAATACTAATGGAAACTTTCAAAAATAAGTTTCTATCCATAACTGTTTTTAAATTAGGTAGTTAGGAAAGAGAAATAAAAATTTAACCCTTAATATCCTTTTCATTTTATTTATCTACAAAAATGCCATTGATCTGAAACTGTTTATTTGCCACCGGATTCGATTGTAAGTGGTAACACAATAGTGGCGCTAATGAAACACATAGCTTAAGAAGTCCGGTTGGTGTTATAATTAATTTTATTTACATAATTATATAATTTTTCAACCTATATACATAATTAACAAGTCATCTTTTTTATATATATAATTTGTACAATATATTTCGTATCTTAAGAAGTTCGACAAAATATCTATGAAAATATGAATGGTTTACTGTTGAATTACTTTGCTGAACTATTTTAAATATATATATATACGCGCGTTAGCCTTTACTTGATGCATGGCATCAGTCTGGTAGCAAAAATTTCAATGTTTCGTGTGCATTTAGCGGTGTCACCGTGTATATTTTTGCTTTCCGTATAAAAAATGTATATGTATACGAAAATTGAACAATATACAAGCCCCAAAAGTATTTATATAATGTTTATATTCAAGCATTTAAATGGCAAACTAGTCCAGTCTCGTATGATTATGATTAACCTTTTCGTTTGTATATAGATAAAAAGCTAGTTTTCAAATACTTACTTCACAATAAAAAGTTAAAAACTAGATTTAGAGCCTAGTATACCTTTCATCAAGTCTAGTATATCTTTCATCAAGGAAATGGTATAATGAAAATTATTTTTGAAAATACATTGAATATATATCATCATAGTCAAACTTTAGTTTTGTTATTTTCTTAATTTTGTTAGATTTTTTTGACTATCACCTCTAGTCTCCAAAATATTACCTCAATTATTCTATTCTCACTACTTTTTGTTTTCTTAATTTTGTTAGACTGTTTTTGACTATCACCCCTAGTCTCCAAAATATTACCTCAATTTATCTTCTCTCACTACTTTTTGTTTTTCTTAATTTTGTAAGATTGTTTTTGACTATTAACCCTAGTTTCCAAAATATTACCTCACATGCTAATATGCTATATATACACGCATTCACAGACGTTACGAGCTTAGTTAATTAACCCTTTGGAAGCATATCCAGAAACCGCAAGAAAAGCTACTCCCATGGCGGATTCAAGCTCTTCTCTTCCTCCTCTTTGCGAAAAGATCTCATACAAACGCTATGTTCTAAGAGCTGTGGATCTCACGATTCTAGGCCTTCTCTTATCTCTTCTCTTGTACCGAATCCTACATATGAGCCAAAACGACAACGTCTGGATCGTAGCATTCCTCTGTGAATCTTTTTTCTCTTTCATATGGCTGCTTATTACCTGCATAAAATGGAGTCCTGCTGAATACAAAGCATATCCTGATAGACTTGATGAAAGGTAAACCAGGCTCTAGCTAAGTCTATTTTTAATTTTGTAGTAAACATTCGAAACCAAGCTTTCTATGAACAGGCCTAGTAATTTTTTATTTTAGGGCTCATGACCTTCCTTCGGTAGATATGTTTGTGCCCACGGCGGATCCGGTTCGGGAGCCGCCGATTCTGGTTGTGAACACCGTGCTTTCGTTGTTAGCTGTGAATTATCCGGCGAACAAAATAGCTTGTTATGTATCGGACGATGGATGCTCACCTCTCACTTACTTCTCTCTCAAGGAAGCTTCCAAGTTCGCCAAGATTTGGGTTCCTTTCTGCAAGAAATACAACGTTAAAGTTAGAGCTCCTTTTAGATATTTCTTGAATCCTCCGGACGCATTAGAGGATTCTGAATTCAGTAAAGACTGGGAAATGACAAAGGTAAAGAGCTTTATTGTCTTTTTAGACTATGAGTTTGATATTGCATATGAGTTTAACAAGTTAATCAAATTATCGCGTTCACTTTACAAAAATAACACGTTAACTTACTTTTTAATCTAGCATAGTTTTGTTACTGTGAATGCAAATGACAAACTGTTGCTGTTGAGTTTATANTTGCCTTTCTTCTTACACATAAATAACTTTAGAGTCAATCCAAACTGATGAACAGAGAAATTGCGTGGAAGGTGTCATCAAGTATTTGACAACGAACTTGAATAGTCTTGTTCAATACAGTAACAGAACACACAATTTAAAGTTTTTAATTTACACGTTTCAGTAAACGCCAGAATCAAGGAATGATGCATCGGATATGGAAACTAACAGTAGTTATGCGAAATGTATGATCAACTTTCCTTTTTGTTTTTTATTTTGAACAGATATGATCAACTTATTAATGTAAAATTCTGCCAAATATGGAAGGTTTATGGACTCTCCTCGTATATGAAAAGATTCAACAATGCCTATATAATTCTCCCAATCACCTTTGAGTTTAAGTTTAGGGTTTTCTTCTTCTTTCCTCCAAGCTAAGCTCCCTTCAATGTCAAACCCAAACCAATCCGTCCGGGTACGCTTCTTCTCAATATCTCAGTTTCTCTCTCTCTCTTTTTCAGTTGGCGATTATGATTTTCAGTGTAAATTTTGCAGACTTGCATACTAAAAGTCGATTTAAAGTGTTGTACCGGTTGCCAAAAGAAAGCAAGCACAAAACTGCAGACTATTTCTGGTATAAAAGAAAAAGGTCCAAATCTTTTTAACTAGGAGTAATCAATCATGAGATTTTAAAAAAGCTTTGGTTTTTTTCCAATGGAATTATAGGTGTAAGCGCAGTGGAGTATAATGCAGAAAAAGGGCTCATGACAGTCAGAGGTGACGTGGAACCTACGACTCTGGTTCAAAAACTTACAAGATGGGGCAAAAAAGCAGAGCTAGTCTCAGTCAATTACCAGCTTGATGATGATGATCTGCTAAGTGATTCAGAAGAAGACTTCAACGACGATGACGAAGACGAACAAGTAGAATGGGTACCTGATCCTAAACCCATGGAACGTGTAACCTTGAAGAAGAAGAAGAAGGGCATACTAAGTAAGTCTTCTCTTTTAGGTTGTTTCAGCCGTAAACCACCAGAGGTTGTGTTGCCTTTTCCAACGCAAAACCGAAACCAGCAGCGTATGTTTCCACCTATGCAACCACAACAACGACCACCACCATTTGGGACGATGTATCCACAACAAAGACCACAATACGGGATGATGAATCATCAACCAATGATGCAACAACAACCTCATCCGAGGATGCGGCAACAGCAACCACAAGGTCCGATGATGAATATGATGATGCAGCAACAACCACAAGGTCCAATGCCAATGGGATACAATGGGAATATGTTCCAGCCAACTCGGCCTTATTTCCTTAAAGATCTCAAAGCCAACCCTAGTCTGCATTACCAGAAGAGCTAGTCACTCTAACCCATTGTGATTAATAATTCTTTCTCACCTTAGGCTACTAATTTTTTTTCTGTTGATTATTATTATGTCCCTTTTGCTAAATACTAAGCAAAATAATGTTTTTCTTTTGTGGACTAATATCTCCAAAGTGTTAAAGGCAAACTTTTAAACAAAGAAAACAGAAATTTCTTAGTGTTTTAGACTCTCTCTGCATCCAACAAACCTGGTTTCATAGTTTTAACATTTGTATAAAGATGAGCTTTGTTTCTGTCAATAAACAAGAATCTTATTCATATATCCCAACTGATGAAATATTAAATCTGTGCCTATTGCTAGTACTAGTAGAATCTATCGTCTCTCGGAGAATACTTGGCCACTTGTCTTGAGCTTTCTCTGTTGCGCATCATGGTTTGCCACTTTAAGGGCTGTTTTCATGGTCACCCTCCAGATCTTTCAAGTATCCCATGAACATCAGAAACCCAAAAAGGAAGAATCCACCTGAAAAGCTCTCTCCACCGCCTCCGCCACCACCACCCCCACCATCATCCCGAGGCGGGAACCCGCTCCCACCGTCATCAAGATTTGGAGATTTATCCTTTCCTGATGTTCAAACCAAAAGGCTTTATTAGACTTAAAAGTTCTGAAGATACCAATTATAACAGAAACGCCTTTAAATCTCGGTTTTCCAACATGAATAAGAACCATAGCAAACCACAATATGAGTTCTAGTTAAGTGTTATATATTAGCTAGATTCATGACAGATCATATGGTCCTAAGCCTTTCTTGTTTGTACATGAATATGTGCAACAATTAAGTCAACAAAGAGAAGGATGCAACAAATTTACCAGGAGCTTGTGTGATTGTTCCTGATTCCCTAGTAACAGTCTGTGTTTGCCCTTGACTTTGACTGCATTTTGTGTTCTGCAGAACATAATCAGAATACGTAAACAGCTTTAGCTTTTCAGAGACACCAATGAAGAGAATACAGCAAAAGGATCTTCTTTTGGCGAAATAAGCGAAATGCTGTTTGATGACATGCAAATTATGAAGCTATCTCAACAGCTAAAGAGTCAACACACTTTTAACATAACAAAGCAACATTACATATAAAGACATGAATATAGAACCTACCAGTGCAGAGTTACATGCAAAGTCGGGTCTTTTGCTCTTAGAGCCGAAACCAAATCCTTCCCTAGCAATGGATTGCACTGTGCCATTTCCAACAGCCTTGACAGAAGGAAATTTTCTCTGGTTCAACGGTTGGAGTGGCATAGAAACTCTTGTAGGATAATAACGCCCACGAACATATCCTGTCACACACGACGAAAGAGCTTTTAGACTTCAATATTCAATCGAAGAAAGAATCCAAAGCTTGAACAATCTGACTAAGCAAGGATCTAATGTCGACATAAACAATTCTCAGTCATCAATCATTAACAATCCAAGCTTAACTTGTATTTCACAGGATAACTTGTACAATTTCACAGGATTTTCCAAGCAATGTTCCTCAACGCACACCGATTATAAAACTTAGTAGCAGTAAGCAATCAAGAAGCATAAACAGAACTAAGAACACAATTTTCTGCTAACATTTACACGTGAATCGAAGAGTAAACGTAACATACCATTAGCCGGAATATGTGTAGAGCGAGGAGGGAGGTACACCAATGGTTGTGCACCAATACACAATGAAGGACTCATCACCGGCATATCTGCAAAAAGGATCAACAGTCAAAACCAAAGACTAAACCTTTAGCCAATTTCACTCACAGGAGAAAACGCCTAACAAAAGAGCAAAAGGGGCAAAACAGCGAATCAATCTGCGGTAGCATAAAAAAAAAATGCGAAAATGAAATTTACGAGTGCACATATAAACTCGGATTCATCAGTTTCCCCAATACAAATCGAATTCGATAGGTGTTTATCCAGAAGAATCAGAGAAAACTAAAGGGAAAAAAACTGGGATTTGGTGGCTCCTCGAAGTTTCTCGATCATAGAGGAGGAAAAGTAGATTCTAAAGAAGGAAAAAGATAGGATCGCGAATCGCACCTGAAGAATCAAACCCAGAGAAGAACAACAAAAAACGGGACTTTCCTAGGGTTTATGTAAATTTCTCGCACAAATCAATTTTAGTCTTGCTTCTAATGCAAGAATTATAAATTGCTCAGGGGAAAAAAAAAAACAATTCCCCATGTAGGTCGGTTTTGAATAAAATGAAAAATATTTAATTTTTATTTTCGAAAGAATAATAAATTAAAAAATCAGAGATTGCTGATCGGAAAAATTAAAACCCTAATTTCAGCAGATCTTCTTCTGTGTTCCAATTGAAAGCAACAACCGTGAATCAGAAGCTGAGGTTGGGGAAATTTCTTACCGGCGGCGATAATGCTTGGTGGATTGTACGGGGATCTTCCTCCGCCGACCGATGATGAGAAACCCAGCGGCAACTCCTCCGTCTGGTCAAGTAGTACCAAGATGGCTCCACCTACGTTACGCAAACCACCGGCTTTTGCGCCGACGCAGACAATCCTGAGACCTCAAATCAAGCCCAAGCCTATCGTGTCGCAGTACAAGGCTCCTCCTTCTTCTTCCTCTTCCTCCTCCTCCTCCCAATCGGTGCTTACTCCGGCGAACGATGCGGCACCGGCACCTTCGCAGCCGGCATTGGTTGGTATGACTTCATCGGTGATTGAAGAGTACGATCCAGCGAGACCGAACGATTACGAGGAGTACAGGAGGGAGAAGAAGAGGAAGGTGATGGAAGCTGAGATGAAGCGCGAGCTGGATAAGAAACGAAAAGAGGAAGAGGAAAGGGAGAAGAGAGAGAGAGAAGAGAGGGAGAAGGAAAGAGAAAGAGAAAGAGAGCGCGATTACAACAACAGCGAGTCACGGCTCAATATCTCCGGCGAGGAAGCGTGGAAGAGACGCGCGGCCATGAGCGGTGGCAGTGGGAAGCGAAGATCTACGTCTCCGCCGGGGAACGTGGACGGGTTTAGCATCGGAAAATCGGAGACGATTGGATTAGGAGTTGGGGCAGGTGGGCAGATGACAGCAGCGCAGAAAATGATGGCGAAGATGGGATGGAAACAAGGACAAGGGCTTGGCAAATCTGAGCAAGGGATCACAACGCCGTTGATGGCTAAGAAGACGGATCGTAGAGCTGGTGTGATTGTGAATGCTAGTGAGAACAAATCGTCGGAGAAGAAGGCCAAGACTGTGAATATCAATGGAGAACCAACCAGGGTCTTGCTTCTTAGAAACATGGTATGCATTTCTAAAAAAACATCTCTTTAACTTTTGCATTCTTTAAGTTCATAATTTCTCTTCGGTTGGTTCTTAATTGTGCCTGCCACACTCGAATTTGGATGAGTGTGGACTTCAAATTGTTGGGAGGATGATAAATTGAGAATTCTTTGTTGGTGGAGCTCGTAGCTCATTGCTAGTAGGCTCATTGTGTTGCTTAGGTTTATGTTAGCCTAGTGAACTGCTGGGTTGTTGTATAATTTAGGTTGCGAATTATTTTGGAGACAACCTTTCAGCTCCAGAATTTACAGTATCTTCCCCTGGAATAGTCACTTAGGCATTTGGGATCTTACTTTACTTTTTGGGACAAGCCTAAAGTGAGCCCTGAGGATTTGATTGCCAAATAATAGAGTGGAGAGGTTACAAATGAAACCTGAGAGTTGCCATGTGATTGAAGGAAAATTTTATTGGTTTCAGGATACTGTAATTTGTGAAACGATTCTTGACTAGTATAGAATTATTGAAATGTGAATGCATCTTCACATGGATTGTCATAAATGTAGACATAGCTCTTGTGACCCTGTTTGTGGTTGTTCACCATGTCAAGCACTTGTTTCAAAGCAAAGATGATATCTTTCTTTTGCATACGTATTGTACTCTGCAACTTTCGACTGACCTAATCACTCGTTTTTTCTTTGCGGCTGAAGGTTGGGCCAGGAGAAGTAGATGATGAGCTAGAAGACGAGGTGGGATCAGAGTGTGGCAAATACGGAACAGTGACTCGAGTACTGATATTCGAGATCACTGAGCCTAACTTCCCTGTGCACGAAGCAGTGAGAATCTTTGTTCAGTTTTCAAGGCCCGAAGAAACAACGAAAGCCCTTGTGGACCTCGATGGCCGATTCTTTGGAGGAAGGACCGTGCGTGCAACGTTCTACGATGAGGAGAAATTCAGTAAAAACGAGTTGGCTCCAGTTCCTGGTGAAATCCCTGGCTATTAACCAAGTGATAATAATAGAGAAAGAAACGATAGAAGATGGGGTTTAAAATTATTACTTTGTAAAGCACTTTAGAAACTTTTGGGATCTATCTATCTGTTTATTGTTTGTTCAATTTGCCTCGTTATGATCAAGAAATGCTCCCTCTTTTCAATCTGTTTTGACCTTCAAAACGATTTTTGCATTTGAATTGATTGATCAATCAAACAGGCCGCTTTGATTAGATTGTTGTAGGCTAAATGTGAATAAAACTAAACTGGTCGACTAGACCCCGACCATTTAGCTAAGATTGGTCCATTTAGCTCGATCCATAAAGCCTGATTTTGTGTGCAGAATCGTATTTTCGTAGAACCAGGCCCAAAACAGATATATCTATATACATATCAACTGGTATCACATTATCGATGAACTGAAAGTAAGTTTTAAGAAATTTCGCGATTAAATTTTGTTCATCTTAGTTGCTTGGTTAAACAAAATTTTGTAACGATGAAGAATACGCATACTCCAGTCTAGTTGATGGATGAATTCGAAATTCATTATGGCATACCAGTTACATTCAAGAACAGTATTATCAAATTGACTGACACATGTTGTAAGTGTGTATGGGTCAACAAGTTTATTGTTTACAACTGTTAAAATTTGTCGTTCAGAGATTCAAACCAACATCGACATCATTTGTACGGATTAATTTGTCCATTTTGAACATATACCGCTTAAAAGGTTTAAACCAACACTGTCTCAGCCTGCAGCGAACAACCCATCCTATATCTCATGAAAAAATCAAAAGTATTGCTTGTTTTGGTGCTGCACAAAATTCAATGTTTTAAAAGCTCTCAATCATCAACCCTACATTTATATTTTCAGCATCATATTTATATACTCATAAATTATATTTTATTCAGAGTTCAAACTTCGGAACCTATCAAAAACCCTTTTATGCATTTACACACTTTCACCATCCCTTTTGTAATACTAATAAATACAACAAACTACCAGAAAACAAGAATAAATTAACCTGCAGAGCACGGATAAAAATACTGTTGAGATTTGAGAAACCTGAAATTATAATTAAATAGGTCAAATAAACTAATGAGAAGAAATTAAATGGGGTCAAACTGACATTTAGCCAATAAGATACCACTGCATAACCCAGCAGTTTTTGTTACTGCTTACCCCAAACAAAAACGAAAATACTGAAATAGTTACTACTTACTACACCCCACTCTGGACTCTGGAGTATTTATTTGTTCTGAGTTTTGAGTATTTTGGAAGAAAAATCCTAAAGAAAAGACAAAGCACAAAGGACAACACAAAAAAAAGTTTTATATTGTTGATCCTCTAGGGTTCTAGGTTATGCATATAATTGCACTAATGGAACTAGCTATCTGTTACTCCATAATTTTCAGTATATATAATACTTATGTTTTTTCTATATAAAATGCATGTTCAATTGCTATATACGACCGGTTCCATCGTATGATACGATTCGTATCGGACTCATTAATATATACTTTCCCGCCGTTTTATAAAGTAACTGAAACATGTGATATGAATCATGTGACATTATATAAAAATAATTTTGTTCCATCAAACTGTAGCAAACATGTTGAACAAATTTTGAATGGATAATATTGGTGAATACTAATGGAAACTTTCAAAATTAAGTTTCTACCCATGACTATTTTTAAATTAGGTAGTTAGGAAAGAGAAATAAAAATTTAACCCTTAATATCCTTTTCATTTTATTTATCTACAAAAATGCCATTGATCTGAAACTGTTCATTTGCCACCGGATTACACTGTTCATCGATCCGTTACACTGTTCATATAAAATCATCGACATTAGTTATCTAAAGATAACTATTTAATTATCATATTAACAAATAAAATATCATAAAATTTGCTAATTTATAATAATATTATATAATTGACATGTTAAATTAGTTAGCACATTATTAAAATACTGTGTTAACCAAATTATCATAACATAAAGTATAAAGATTTTAGGTATCATAATTATCATAGCAAGAGTTATCATGTTAATTAAGTTATTTTATCATAGAAAAATATGAAATTACATGCTAATATAAAAAATATCATGTTAAGGTGATTAGCATATAACTAAAATACCGTGTTAAACAAATTATCATGATATAAAAAAATAAAGTGATTTGATTAACATAATTATCATACCAACAATTATCATGATAACAAAGTTATCATATTATAGAAAAATACGAGATGCAAATATGTATAAAAATATCATGCTAATGTGATTAGCATATTATGAAAATACAGTGATAGACCAGTTACCACCATCATCTTCATCACCTTCAATTGAGTACCATTGTTGGCTTCTTCTTCCTCCTCCTCCTCTTCTTCCTCTTTCTTCTCTTCCTCCATTGCTGGCTCTTTTTTTCTCCACCTCGGCTGACATTATGACAAATAATTTGAATTTCCATAGCTTTTAATAAATCCAATTGAAAAAAAAAAAGAAAACAAATTTGTAATTAAAATCACAGATTTGCAAATAGGAGTTCCATTGGACAACCATTCCGGAGAGAACCCACCATCATCAACATTAGCACCACTGTCTCCGCCTCTCAACATCGTCGCCGACATCCTCATCCGCCGCTTTCATCACCGTCATTACCTGGCTCTTCAGTAGAAAATTCATCTCCAACAGTCGCCCTCTCTCAACTAGTTGCTCCAAATCCTAGCAGGTTGTTTTCTTGTATGAATTCTCCTTCTCCTTCTTCTTTTTATTTTCGTGAGTCTTCCATGTCCACCGCAGGAGAGAAAGAAGAAGAAAAAAAGTTCAACTGTCCACCGCAGGAGAGAGAGAACACAAAAAGGGGTAGAGAGTAATTTGCTGTAAAAAATACTGTAGAAATAGTGTCTCATTTGTGTCAGTTAATTTCAGAAGTATTGATGGGTAGTTTGTGCTATTACTCATTTTGAATTAACAAAAGAAAAATGAGTTGCATGTCGTTTTTCCGGACCCAAATCAAAACTACAGTAGAACCTCTATAAAACAATACTCGATAAAACAATAAACACTATAAGACAATATTTTCTCCGGTCCCAACTCGGGCCAATGTAAAAAATAGCATAATGCGATAAGATGATAAGACAATAATATTTTTGAAACTCCTATGTAAAAATATAGTCCCAACAATAACCTAAGATAATAATTATAAAACTAAGGCATATATATCTAAGACAATTTAGTAAAATATGACTCCAATGTAGTTTGTCTTTTCTGAAAGTTGGATTCCCGTTGGAGCTCATCTCGAATTTTTCTTATTGGATCTACAATTTCTGTTGATGTATTCTCAACTTGCAGCCAAAAGTTGTGAAGAGTTCTCGAAGCCACAATTGCTTAACTACTTGCACATGTCTTTCCTCATCATCTTCAACTTCATCTTCACCATTAAGAACATTAGACATAATTTCTTCTAGATTTTGAATTTCTGAGCATGAAATATGTAAATAACAAAGTATAAGGAAAATTTGAATAAAAAGGTGAAGTGAGAAAACGACGCGTAGTTGAAATACAGAAAAGGAAAACGCTCGAAGCTAATAATGTATCTTCTCTAGGGTCGTACCTATTACCTAGTGGATCCCACTGAGCCAGAGTTAATTTAAACTATGCATGCATGTGCATATTTGAGATAAAATGTAAGTATATGTACATGCTCGAGCATCAATGGATGACGACGATACTTGAATTGGTTCGGCAAAATAACAAACGAGTTATAACTTATAACAAACAAACAAAAACAAAATGAATTCTATTCGTGCTAATTATCAATTCCCTGTATGTCTAGATCTCATTTTTATTTAAAATTGGTCTTTTAGTTTTATTTAACCGACCTAAAGATCGTGACTATGATCTTTTACTTTGTGTATACACAATTTTATTACAGTTTTCATAGAGTTATCTATATTTCTGTGGGTAGGATTAAATGGTGTGGGAGGATGACATCAGCAAGATTGACTAAGAAGACATAATCGGGTAAGGCATTTCCTTACACAAAGCCAGATCTGTCCCGAACAGAATCAGTTCTGTCTTTTCACCGTTTTTTTCTTTCTTTGTTTTTATTTTTCTTATCACACAAAAGTAAACCTGCTCTGTTAACAAAATTTACCTGTGCCCCATATTCATTTTCCATCCCGTAGCGGTCAAATCACCGCCTCACATTAATTATTTCATTTATTAAGTCGTTATTCATTATTATTACATTAATTTTTGTCTAAGTTTTGACATCCACTATTGGTTTGATAGTTAATTGTTCATCATAGGTTTGAGTAGCTCCGGTTTTCGATAGTTTACGGTTTGATAATTGTCTTTCTGTGTAACATCCGTCCGTAGCCATTAAGAAGAAATATATCGAGATTGAAATTTACTTGTACTTGTTCCCAAAAAAACAAAATTACTTGTTGTAAAAAGAAAATTACTGGTTGATATAAGATATTTTACATCGAACGTATGGACATAAGTATTTGCCATATGTGACGAATGTATTTAACCATTTGCGTATGATAACAAGCACGTAGACGTAGCACTTCCGAAATCCAAAGAAACGAGAAAAGTTCTCAATCCCACCCATATCCAGCTGTTAGCCAAAGTGCCTTTAGACTTTCTCTTTTTCCATCCAATCCAACTAGAAACTTTATAAAACATTAGTACTGTATAAGTTTTTAACTGTTACAAAACAACAGAAAGTGTCGAGTAGAATGGTCATAGTTGTTAAAACAAAAAAGAACGGTGAAATCATAAAATGTAGCCTTTGTTAAAAAAAAAAAAAAAAAAAATTCAAAAATTTAGAAACCTCTATTTTAATTGGATCAGCGGATTGAAACAGATGTTATTAAACCTACATAATTATATGTATGATGATGATAATATTTTGCATAATCATTAACAACAACAAAAAGAATAGTCCACCACCATTTCTTACATCTTTGCTGGTTGCCAAAGCAAAACTTTAAACTAATCAATACTGTACCTTTTCATACAAAAAAAAAACACTAATCAATAGCCGTCAAAAAGAGAAAATATCAGTAATATACCAAATGGTAAAAAGAAAGTTACTATTGGCACATACAAAACTTTCGAGTAACTTAAAAGCTTAAAGGTTTCTGCACAAAAGAAAAGTAAGATTTTAACTTCCATTACTGTTAGAGTACCCCAAAAAGAAAAGTTTATAGGTTTGCCTACAAGTAACAAGTCAAAGAACAGCATCATCATGATGACTAGTTTTCTTGTGATAGATACGATTTCAATTTAATACTGTGGATATATTAGAAGTAATGATTATAGAGATCATTTAATGTCAAAGATTTTTCCGAATCCAAAATCCAGTCTTCTAGATGGCCATATGCATACTGCATGCTCACACTCCGCATGCATTTTCATTTTCTATATAATACGGTCACTTGTCACAAATCCCATATTTTTTTCTTTATCATGTATTTAGTTAGTTACGCATACTTACAAAAAAAGATACCACATCTATAAAACATTTTGCGAAAACAATAAAAAAAAAATTATTAGTTTCTTCGACAAATGCTTTTGTTGACAGTAATTGGTTGTACCTGAAGACAATGATAAATGTTGACTGTACTCAGTACTTGCAAGAAAACAACAATTCATAAGCTTAATGACTTTTACCAAAAAAGAGAGAGAAAGCGAAACAAGTCAAACATCAATAACACAAAGGACAATATATAAATATAGGATCCTGCCACATAACATAGTGTCATGATTTGATGAAAGAGATAACATAACATTCGTCCATATTACACATAATTGTGAACCTCTAATTTCACAAACCTTAGCCAAAACAGCATCCTAACTCGAATATCTAACATAACATTTATTACATAGTCCATTCTTCACACGAAGGACCAGTTCACGAGGATAAAAGCCAAGCAGTGATTCGATTCGTTGTCGTCAAGAACTTTCCACACCGTCGCTTGCTCATACGAGACTGGTCTTCCCATGCTCGACACACATAGTCCCGCAGGAAGATTAGCATAGCCCTGTGATTCCATCCAAACATTAGTATTCTCTAGGGAAAAAAAGAATCACAAAACTTTCCAGAGTCATCGAGAGTCAGAGAGCAAGAAAATACCTGCTGCATGATCTTAGAGAATTCAGAACAAAGAGCTTTACGACCAGAGTCGTCGAGAGTCTTGTCAAGCATTATATCTTGGAGTGCCACTAGCGTGGTTTCAAGCATGTCTAAACCAGCTTGGTTTGCAAATGTGAATACCGGTGAGGCCTGAGATTAAAGAACAATACTTTTGTGTTCAACTATATTTTGCTAAGAAGAAAACCTCTCAAAAACAGAATTGCTTACATTAGTTTTGAGGGAGCAGCACAAGATTGCATCAGTATGGTTCCAGAGCTGCTTAAGCAATGTGTCTCCATCGCAAGCTTGAGAATCAGGTCCCAACAGGTTTGCGCCAGTATGAATGCTACAGCATCGGAAAAAAACAATTGAATTACTAAATAGAGATGACATATTGTTGTTGTAAAGTTCTTAGTTTAAGAGTAGAGTACCTGTAACTACGAGAGATCCAACGGACCAGAGTGAGAGCTTCAGGGGAAGTGGGAAACTGCAATGAGCCAGGACGAGGAGTAATGGCTAAAGCCACTCTCTGAATCGAACCTACAACATTCCTCACATACTGTCTCGCCATTGCAGCAACATTGTCCCTTGAGTGGTTATCATATGTGAACTGGAACGCTATGGTCAAGACCAATCTTGAGTTTGTTTCTGCGTCAGTTTTAGTGGAACCATCTAGAGATGATGCAAGATCCCGTGTTCGATTCGCAGACAGATGATCGTTCTGTTACAAACAAACAACAAAGAAAGAGTTTGTATCAACTGACTATATTCCAGGATGATGATATCAAATGTCTTTTCCATAAACATTTCTTTTTTTTTTTGCTTACCGGAGTTGCTTTTTGATCGAGTGGTATGACACGGAAACCAGAAGGAAGCAAAGGTGCATCATCAGCGAAAGATTCATCGATAGGGGCAAAGACAAGCTGAGCACAACCTCCAACCACATTTTCATCAATCCCACTGCAAAGCTGGTCAAAAGCAAAAATTCCATTTCAACAAGATAGCTTTAAAGAATCTAAAGAGAAGCTTTTGATATGAAGCAAACCTGCAGTAGATACATATCCTGGGATAAGCCCATGTCTCCGGGTGAGTAAGCATGACCTCCAAGTCTAACCACTTCAAGAAACTGAGAAGCAAGTAACCGAAGATCTCTCAGTTCTATAAACATGACATGACTATAAGCATGTCTAAAGAAGAGACAACAAGATTCTTCTTTACCTCTTCATGTTCAAGCGTCTGTGCGAGAGGGAGAATGACTTGGTTACTTGGGAACCCACCAGTTCTAACGCAAGGAACAGCGAATGGAGTTGCTCTGAGGGATGCAGCAGAATAAGCATCAACACCATAGTCTGCCCATTCAGCTCGATGTTCTCTCAGGAACCGAATCAGTACAAGGTGGAACATTCTTCAAGAGATGACAAATAAGAGTTAGAAACTGAAGAAAACCAATTCTTTTGTATCTTCATAAATGCCAAATCGTGATATAAGCGCACCTGCAACAGCATAGAAGCCTTGGCACAGAGGACACCGCTTCCAAAACTTGGAAGAAAAGAGTTACTGTATTGAGAGCCAGCGAATTTAGAAGAGGAAGAGTTGATCATGATTGTAATATCCTCTCCTCCATCACTACTCAATAGGAGACCATCCATCATCCACAAAACCATTAACAATATCATTGAAACCACTGGATTTTGAAGAGAAGCAATGAGAATAATGCTGAGGACAGCAAAACTATAAGCTAATCGAGGAAATATAATATTTTACCGGCAGTCTCTGCCTGAAAGTTCTTAAAAGTTAAAACTGCAGGCTGGCGTCCACCACAATACTGAACTTCTCCAGTAGTCGCTTGAGCAATCTGCCTCACATGTCGCAGAGCCTGAAAATGTGGAAATAAAACTCAGAAACACATAGTCTAATGAAGGTCAAGGGTGGGTCAGGTTCACATGGAACTTACAGCGACGGTCATTTTCTGAGCAGAACTTTGGAAGACTCATGAAGAGGCCTCAAGACTGCAGGAACACTTGAAACCTACCAAATCAAAGAAACTTAGCAATCAACAAAAAAAGAGGAGACTCTTAAGAGAGCAGATGTGTTTTTATTAGTTAGAAGCTTACATCCATTTGACAGCATTTTGGCTATCACGAAGCTAGAAGAGAGCAGACCATGGGTGCCACCAGTTGCAGTAGTGAGTGACCTCTCACAAACCTGAAGGCAAAAAAGCATAAAGCGAGTAAATAAAGAAAATTATAAAAGAACAAAACCAGTTCCCAAGACTCACCATATAGCTTCCATCTTCTAGACTTGTACTATATCTCAGTGTCCAAAAGTCACGAGCTGCTGCTAATGTTGTAGGAGCATATAGCTGACAACCCAACATATAAAATGATTAGAACATTGTAGAAGGAACTAAACAAGAATGAATTGAGAGATCTATGAAACAGACCTGAGTGTTGACAAGCTCGATAGTTCCACCATTTCCAGTTGGAAGAACACTCAGTGTCTCGATACATCGACAGTCACGGAACCAAGATCGTCGATCTTTGAGGATTTCAGCAACCTAACAGAGTAATGTGAAATTTAGAGCGCCTTCATACAAAAAAAGATCATAGAAAAAAAAAAAAAAAAAAAACATTCATTACCTTGGTTCTAAACTCACGAGGCCACATGCAGGAGCTGCTATTCCACTGCAGTTGCGTGAAACAGCTGCAATGCCAATAGAATCCAGACCAGGCTACATACATCACCATGAAAACACATTTTGCGTGAAAACATTACTTCATTTTTACATTTCCAAATATGAAAAGATTAAAACTTGTATTACCTTCATCCCAATCATCTGAACCCAGTCGATAGCAGTTCCTGTAGCCTTGCAAAGGAACTCTGCCAAGGTCTCCTCCGCAATCGAGAGAAGACTAACAAGAAAATGTTCAAACAAAATCATTACTTAAAGTTTCGTATCATAATAAGACAATGAGAAACTAACAAACACAAAAACAAGAGCCTTTCTTTTCTTACCCAGCTGGGTTGTTAGCATCACGTTGAGGATGCTGATGTGTTGGGTTTTGCTGCTGACGTTGCTGCCCACTCACGACCACAGACTCACAGCTGTTGTCCGTGGTCGTCCCAGAAGCCTAACGTTCATCAAAACAAAGACTTTTCATTAGTCACTTTCTAAAAAAATCAGAGAACTCTAAATGTGGTTGGATTCAGGTCTTACAGTGTGGATTCGATGTTTCATGAATCCATTCTCGTAGACCAAGTGGGAGACTTGCTTCTGCAAACGGTCGTTCTCTTCCATCAAAAGCTTGTTCATGGCACTCAGCTTTCTGTTCACTGTCTGAAGACGAGCAGACTCTTTCCTCTGCTTCTCTCGGCATCTAAAATTCAACAAACCAACGCAAAACCTCAAAAGACGTGAACACAACAGTTAAAGAAAAACACAAATGGCAAGATAAATGTGTTGAATAGTTGAGAATGAACAGAAGTAAGCAAAGAAACACCCTTTCTTGCTTTAGAATCATACCAGAATGACATAAAGAACAAAGAAAAAGATTATGTAATTTCCAACATATTCTCTGCAGATTTATTATTAATAAAAAAGACTGAAGAAAAAGAAACGTTTAAAGCTCATCATCAAAGACAGTTTGATTAGCTGTCACTTTTCTTGTCCTCTGTATCAAAGCCTAAGCAAAAAGGAAACAAATTTATCCCATTTTTTATATAAACGTAGATCTGAAAATTTCAAAAGCTTAATAAAATTTGCCATGGAGATCCAAAACATGAAAAGACACAGATTTTACCGGAAAACATTTGTCAGAGAAAGGAACAGGCACAGGTGAATTAATTAAAGATTTTAAATCTAAACAAGGAAACATTTTGCTGTCTTCAAATACAAACAAACAAAAATTAATTTTAATCTCACTCAATCAATACAAAAACATTCAACTAAATTAAAACACAATTTATACCTGCGGTTTTGGAACCAGACTTTGATCTGACGTGGCTCGATGTTGCAAAGAATCGGGCATTCACGAATGAGCTGTTGTCTTCTGAGAGAGCTGGGTTTAGGGCACTCGGCGTAAACTCTCTCAAGAGCTTCGACTTGCTCCGGCGTGTACCTAACGTACTTGCCGGAGTCGAATCCCTTATCCGGAGAGTCTCTGTCGTCCATTGAGTGAGCCATCATCATTTTCCCAACTCGAAAAATCACACACAGAGCTTAAAACAAAAAAAAAAAAGTAAAAATCGATACTTTAGAGGAAGTAATCGAGACCCAGATGGGTACCGATTGAGGAAATGTTGGGGGGTTGATTTAGAGTGGTAGGCCCTCTGAGTAGAGAGAGCCTCCGATGAGGTTGTTCATGAGAGAATGGTTGGGGAATTTCATTTGCTCTCTCTAAGGAAGAAGAAGAAAGAGAAGGAGAGGATGGAAAGTGAGGAAGGAGTAAAGGAAGGGAAGCTAAGTAGAGAGAGAGAAGGGTCTATCTCTCAGACACTAATCTCGAGAATCTTTCCCTGAGAGAGAGAGAGAGAGAGAGAGAGGGAAATGCTGAAAAAGTAAATTAAAGATTTTCAGAGAGAGAGAGAGGACAAGGAAGAACACAACAAGAAGCACTAAACGGGTAAAATTATTATTTCTTTTTTTTAAAAGGTGAAATTCGAAACGCCGATTAGGTTGAATTAAAAAGCTTGGAAAATGTTGTGGAAAATTAAAACTTTTTTTCTCCCACACTAAAATTTCATTAACATATCAATCATAAGTAAATAAAAGAAGATTACAAAGTCCAATACAAAACATCTAAACACAACCTATTGCATAAATAAATATATGCGCTATATGCTTAAAACGGTATCTCGAAAGAACGAATTTAAACGTTGTTGTTTTCTTTCGAGATAAGTTTTACACACTAACGGACAATATATATTATTTTTTTTTTCTTCATTTTCCGTTACACTTTTATACGATGTATGCCAGATTGGCATTGCTTTTCTTTGCTTTCCAAATCAAATAAGAACAAAATCGTTACATCCGTTACATGTTTTAGAATGTTGACACGATATCAATCAGTTCGTACTTGCGTGATATTTTTTAGAGAAATTTTATGAAATACATCTCTTGAGGTGCAAATTTTCAAAACTACACCTATGGTATAGAAATTTTCAAAAATACACATTTTCCTAATTTTAATATATATGTTTGAGTTCACTAATCTTAGATTAGGGTTTAGATTTTGGGAGTTAGGGTTTAGATTTAAGGGTTCAATGTTAGATTTTAGGGTTTTGGATTTATATTTTAGGGTTTAGAGCTTTTTTACTAAATGAAAAAAGTGTAGTTTTGAAAATAGACACCATAGAGGTGTATTTTTGAAAATTGGCACCTCAAGAGGTGTAGTTTTGAAATTTCCCTTATTTTTTATAATAAAATTTTTATTATTTTAGTGCTTATATTTTTTATTTTCAAGAGTTTAGTTACTGTTTGATTTGTTTGTAATTATGTCACTTTGTAGTTGTAAAAAAAAAGTACGTGACTTTATATGGAGAAAGAATTTAATTTTTTCTTGCACCTCAGATGAAAGCTTATTTAATTCTCTAGTTTGATTTCATATCACCTAACTCTCATAATCAATGTGTTTCTGTCATCACTATTATTGATTTTCATTAACATTAATTAGATATTGACAAAACTGAAAGTAACCAGGTTTGAAAATTTAGGTGCATTCAGACAAGAAATTACATAGCATTTAATCGAAACTTGTAGGATTGAAAGGCTAAACACAATAGATGAGAAAAGCCAACACGCAAAGCTCTCTCTCCTGATTTTTACTTACAAGAACCACAAATGCTAATTACTTCACTGAAAAGTAAAAACAATAAGAAATATTTATATATTTTGAACATAATTGTACAATATTTATTCGTAAAAACGAAAGTGTTGTCAGAAGAAACGGAATTTTGACGAAATTAGGTAATTTGCTAACTTAGGGAAATAAAGCTGTTGGCTTTAAGCTCTGCGACAGTGGCCTACCCAAACTTAGCATCAAAATTTTTTCTCTACCCTCTTGCTCTCTCGTCCTAAGATGATGCATAATGATGATGTGTGTATGTATGTGCATGTACTTGATGTACATATTACCATACACAGTACCATGAATAATGATGTTGCATATGTCCATCTTTTGTATCCATGTGCAGATGATGATGCATGAGAAGTATGTGCATTGTGCAGTGTCACTACGCGCGTGAGAAGTGTGAAGTATATGCATTTTTTTCTTTCTTTAACTTGTTTTCTAAGATTATCATGAATGAGAAAAACAAATTCAGACAGATCTGCCTTTGCTGGGGGGTACAACCTGTATTTGGTCTGGTTACGAATTTTCAATTGGTTGTTGTATCCATTTGTTCAAACATATAGTTTATTTGTATACATTTTTGGTTTTCTTATATGTCATACATTTTTTTGTTTTCATAATTTTGTGAGTATATTTTAAGTTCTAAGCAATGTCTCCACACAATTCTCTGTTTAGATCGAGAAGACTGTATCGTCTAAAAATGAGTGATTTATATATAAAACCAAAACTTGATATCTGCTTCAGACCATGTCAAATATATGGCTCATCCTCCAAAGTTTCAGGTTCAATAGGAAGGTTTACACTTTACAAAGCGAAAAACAAATAAAAAGGCGAAACATGATACATCCATCAACAAATACGACCAAACACCAAAATCTATCATTACGATATACTTTTGTTACCTTTGCCAAAACGATACCATAAAATACATGTTTGGTTGTCTACTTCAAAAATGAATAGAGTTAAGTGGGTGTACATGGAAACAAAGATTCGATATTACCCTTTTTTGTCAGCATTACCTATTGTTTTATGTTGATTAAGACATGGCATTGCAAAAGAATAAGAAGAAATACGTACGGAAACACACTATTAACAAATGTAAAAACATCATAAGAGGTTTTAAAGAACATAAAGAATAAGAAAAACCTACACAAGTGGTGTATTTCTGAATGAAATTAATGTTGGTACTATTTTTTTTTTTTATCAACGTTTTTTTTTTTGATCAACGTAATGTTGGTACTATTAAACAAAACAGTTAACATGTAGACAAAGGGGTATCTTCATATGAGAGAAGAAAACAATAAATACGGAAATGTGTAAATAGTAAAGGGACGAAGAAGGGTCATGTGAAGTCTCATCATGACTTCTTACTTTGTGCATGCGCTTCGATTTTCTACAATGCCAGTCGCAGGTGTATTACCCACTTTCTCTACTCCGTCTTTTTCCAATTTATTAATTCGTATCGCACATTTGCAGAACTTAATAGTAATAATTATTCTTAATTAATCAGAAAATAAAAACAGAAATGGTGTTGCTATCTGGTAAAGCACTTTCTTAATAAATTCTTCGTTTTTTGTTAGACAAGAACAACACACTATAATTAATTATTGACATAACTTTACGTACGAGAGCATATCTCGCGCCACTAAAAAGCAATATAGCTCTTTACAGTTTTTAGTTGTTTTTATTTTTAATTCACCTTTTAATTGATAGATCATAGCTTGATTAGTTTTATTTCACGTCTGTAATTGTCTCTACCTTTTATAGTGTTACAGACTCACAGTGGAAACTACAAACCAGGGTTCTCTTAATAAAACTACACGACATGTCAAGAACCAAAAGTAGTAGACATGATCTTTCGTGTTTTAATCAAAAGGAACATATATATCATATCTTAATTTATCAATTACTATTTAAAAAAAAAAAACATAACGCAAGCAGAAAGAACAACACACATTATATGGATTTCGAGTTTGTCTATAATTTGGAAAAAGTTTCTGGACGATCATGTGATAAGAAGAAGATCTGTAAAAGAAGATCCTTTTTTTTTTTGTGTTTTCCATTTAATGTCAAACCTTTTGTGACGATGTTGATCTCCAACTCAAAGTCAACATTTGCTTTTTCCTTAACATCATAACACTCGAGTCTTGACCATCACTGGTTAGTGGTTACGCATAAACACACACTACTTAGGTACTACTACTATTTTATTGTCTATATATAATACCATTCATGTATATTGTCTATTTGTCTAAAGATGATTTGATCAGTAATTTTTCATCGCGGCGATAAGGTTTTCTCGTTCGGACTAATATTAAACATACTTGGTCACAGATTCCTATATTTTGTTCTCGATTGTATTAGGTTAAGCTATATAAACTATATAAACATATGGTCATTAGAGTTGTAGAGTTTCAATTTTTTTATCGATATTATATGATGATATTCGTTTAGTTTCTTCTCTAATCATGGGAGGTAAGTTTGACTTGAAAGAGGTCGTAAACAATAGTCTATTTAACAGAAAACGAAAATTCTGGAGGAAAGTCTAGCCATAGAAAATTGTTAGATTCTTAAGCTTTTGGAACAAAAATGCTACTTTTCTTAATTATTGTTTTAGAAAGTGTCATTTCACCAACAAACTATTTGTTTTTTTAATTTGTATAAGCATAACAACTAGATTTTGATGTCACTTTTTGGGTGTGGATCCTTCGTTTTATTATCAAAATTTCATACAACAAAACAATAATATCAGTAGCATTGTTCCTTAACTAAAACTTGATGACATTTCTTTTATTTTTCCTTTCTTCTTCGTGGGTTTTATTCTTTTAATCACAAGTCCCACTTGGCTTTTGACCTACCCTATACATTTCTACAAAAGATTTGAATATCATACACTAAAAAACATCCGATGATCTGAGACCAAACAAAAGCTATGTGTATCAGTCTGACCTTCTCAAGATGTACCACTAGAAGCAGCCATGGCGGATTGACCAGACCTAAGGTTGGAGTTTTCTTCATGATGAGTGTCTTGGTGATGCTCGTCTTCCTTCTTGGCATTAAGAAACCGACCGCCACACCCTCTTGGTCGTCTTATCGCATGCAAATGCCGAGATTCATGCAAATACGGCTGCAAAACACACTTTTCAAGACTTGCCTAGTTGAAAGTAAAGGAATCATAATAACAAAAACACTGTTTGTCTTCTTTTTTTTTCACCTTACGTGACTTGACAACTTTATTCTGAGATTCAAGTTTGGCTCTAGATTGCCTTCGTCTCAGTATTCCATGGTATTGCTTTGCGTTGACAAAAACAGGTTCCTCAACTGCATCAGATGGTAAAGGAACACCTTGTTGCTGCACTCCCATCAACTGTAAATGTACCTGAAACCATTTGTAAACAAGCTATTAACATAAATCCGGATCAGAAAAATCGCTGTAGTGTAATTAGTATTAAACCATACCCCAGCATAAGGCCGTGGAGGATACGCTTGTGCGTCACTATGTGGTGCAAAGACGCTTCTGTAGTAAGGATCTGGATATGGGTAGTGTCCAGGTGCCTTCAAATGTATATACAAAAACACATACAAAACGAAGAACATGTTACTTTGGTTCGGCTCTTATATGTGATGAACATGAGAGATTGCAAGAAAGTGAACAAAACATAGAGTTCTTGATCAAATTGTTTGAGTATTACCATGGAGTGAGGAAGCTGTTCCGAGTAGACTAAAGTGGTTGCAAGTGATTCAGAATTTCTTCCTGGAGGAATTGGTGGTTGGATTTGGATTTGGATTTGAGAATCTCTCTGTTCTTGCTTCTCGTGACTTCCAATGTTATCTGGACAAGAAAGCACCAAACTTAACAAGAGAGCACCATCAAGAATCAGAAGGAGTAATAAACCACATGAAGTTGAAGTATGGAACAAGTTTAGGTAAAAATCTCTGTTTCAGCAAGGCTAATGAAAGCAGAATTGACATGAAATAAGAGGAATATAAACAAGAAATGGATAAAGAGTAGAGGAGAAGAACCAGAAAGCTCATGGATTGAAGAAGTCATGACTCATGAGCTTAACGTCCGAATCACAACTCTGAAAACTACAGAGAACAGAGACAACACCAAATAGTCAGTACATGCTTTACTTGTAACGCTTATAAATTGAAGAATCAGAATTATCAAATTTTTTTTTTGGTATCAATGCTAAAAAATGATTAAATGTTTAAACTAAGCTTCTGAGAAATTGTTTCCATCATTTCCCAGAGAACCAAATCAGAATACAATCACAACTCTACAATTCATATCTAAAACGCATAAACCCATAAACCTATAATTCTCACAATCAAACTAAATTTCTAAGCAGCAAAAGCAATTTAACAGGAAGCAAGTAAAAAAACCAACAATTTTCTATGCCGATTTTTACCTCTGCAATTTTTCTGTGCCTCTTCTTCAAAGTCTCCGAGAAGAAGAAGAAATAGGAAACAGAGAGAGAGAGTAAAGAAGTGTCGTTTTCTTCTCTTCCGCAAGTCATTCCGCAATTTCATACCCACACTTCATAGCGTTCTTCTCCATCAGTCGCAAACATCACGCCGTCTTTACACTTGAGGAAGTGGAAACAACGGCACGGTCTGTAACGACTGATGCGGACGCAATATCGATCGTACAAGTGGAGATTGTGAGAAGCGTTTCAGATTGCACGTAGCAGATTTCGGGCAGATCTGTATTTTCTGCCCGGAGTTGCTCACTAACTGGTTTAGTCCACGAGTTCCTACGGGACCTACCTTTACCCTTTGCCCGATATTTAAATATTATTTCCCATTGTGAGTCATTGAAAGCGAACCGGTTCGCGTTTGTTCGAATTCGAGAGACAAGAAACCGATCTCGGTTTGGTTTGATTCAGACACGGTTTATACTACATCAAACCAAATTCTAATTCTAATTTGTTTTGTTTTTCAGATTTAAGAAGCTAAAACCGTTGTCACACCACATGATTTTATGATTTACATAACTTTCTTTTCTGTTAAACAAGATTTATGTAACAGTCTTATGTGCATACAAATTTATTCGAATATCTTTGTAATATTCTCTAAACTCTTTGGTTGGGTTTATTGCAGCACATGAGATTATTCTCAGCTTTAACTACTACCTTACGTCGTTTTCTTTAATGTCTCGTGGCATTACATAATCGATCCATTGTTTGTTCTCTAAGGGTCTGACTGGTTTAACCGCTGCGGTTGCGGTTGCGGGAGTTTGCGGCTGCGGGAGTTTGCGGAAGCGGGAGTTTGCGATTAAAAGCTGTTTGTACGACTGGTATAGCAATTCATAGCGGTTGCGTTTGCGGGATATTTTTGACTGGTTAGCCAGCGGGTGCAAGAGCGGTTTAACCAAAAGTTACTAAAATAAAAATAATATATAATTATTCAAAACATTTATAACCATATTAATAATTTTTTTTTTGAAATATATTTTTTGATGAATTTTTAATTTGAAAACTACCCTTTTTTTTTGGTTTTGAAAAATACACTTTTTATATGTAAAATGATTATTCCTAATTTAATAAAAACGAAATTCAAATAAGAAATATAAAATATTAATATTTGATAATAATTTTGTATCATTTTAACATCCTAATTACCTGTTTAGTTTTTTTTAAACAATTTAATAAAAATATAAGATTGTTTATATAAAGTTTAAATGGGGTGAGATTAAAGTTGTTTATGCAAAGTTTCAAAAATATTTAAATTTTTCAAAAGATAAACATTAAAAATGAAAGATATATTTCTCCACTTTTAAATTTTTAATAATTTATAAACTTTAAATATATGTAAAGTTTTAATTTATTTAAAGTTTCATTTGGTTTGAATGTGTATGAGGTTAAGTTGTTTATATAAAGATCCAAAATATTAAAATTTGTTTCAGTTTAACATATACTATATTTATTTGAAAAAAAACTTATTAGTTTATTATTTTTTTAAATTTTCGTTTATAATTTGTAATTATTTATTATTTTTTTGTTTAAATCACGTCAAAACATACTTTTTACATTTTAAAAGTGTATTTTTCAAAACAGAAAAAATTTAGGGTATTTTCGAAATTTTTAAACATAATTATGGTATTTTTCAAAAAAATATACCCTTATTCCAAATTTGGAGATATTATGTTTTTTTTTTTTTTTTTTCAAACCGCAACCGCCCGCAACCGCAAACGCTTGCGGAAAGGAGCTTTTGATTTTCAGCGATATAGAGCGGTACAGAGTGGTATAGAGCGGTTGAAAGCGGTTGTCGTGATTGTTATAAAACGCTAAGAACCGCTACGAACCGCAAACGCTGCGTTTGCGGGTGGTAGCGGGAGAACCAATCATCACCTAAGAATATTCCAGTGAAATCTCTTCTCAAACTAAACAAACATCTTTCTGGATTTTATAATGTTTGAAAACAACTATAACAACATCAATTCAATTATTTATTACGATAGTTAAATCAAATAAAAGACAGCAAAACAATTAAAAGAGAGGGCAAGAAAAGGCAACAGTCAGGCCTAATAGACTTCAACGTGCCACTGCTTGTTCTTCTTGAGCTGAGAAAGCTTCAAGTCCCAGCTCTCACCTCTCTCCTCTGCAACTCTCTTAAGCGTATCTTGAATCCCAGGCATCATCCCTTTAAGCCCACAGAAGTAAATATGAGCTCCATCATCCAAAAGCTTGAAGATCTCATCACTATACTCTTCAATCTTGTCCTGCACATACATCTTCCCACCTGTCTTGTTCTTCTCCTCTCTGCTCAACGCCTTGTCGAACCTAAAGTTCTCCGGATGGTCCTTCAAGTACTTGCTAAACTCATCGTCGTATAGAAGACTATCAGTATTAGCCACACCTAGGAAGAGCCAAGCTAAGCCGCCAAATTTGTAGTTTGGTACGTCTTCCATGAACAATCGACGAAGGTAGCCTCTGTAAGGAGCCACTCCTGTTCCTGTGGCTATCATTATGTGCGTCGCGTTTGGATCGTCCTCTGGTAATAACATTACTTTCCCCGATGGACCTGGTTTCGAAAAATTATATCAAGTAAAAAAAAAGCTCTTCTTCCAAGGAGTCTCTATATGTATTTAGTTAACATACCAGATATTTGAATCTTGTCTCCGGGCTTTGAATCGCATAGGAAGTTGCTGCAGACACCGTTCTTTGAAGGATCTTCTTTACCAGTCTCCGGATCGTAGTAAACAGCTCTTCGCACACACAAGCTCGCTGTCTTACCATCAAAGAAATCTCCATACCTCGTTGATGCAATCGAGTAAAGACGCACATTGTGTGGCGCTCCTGGTTTCTTCGGATTGTCACCCTACACGCACGCACAAGATTCATAGAATAAGATATTGAGTAAAGACAATTATGGAACCAGGTAAGAGCACAAGGGAACATGACTCACTGGAGGGATCACGCCGTAGCTCTGTCCTTCCCAGTAAGGAAGGTTACCGTCATGATCGATGACGATGTGGCAAGTCTCTCCTGGGGCGTTTGCGCCGACGACTCGCTCCACGGAGACGATCTTAGCTGTGTAAGCTTCCTTGGGTTTGTACAAGTGCAATGGAGGATCTTTAGCGTCTTCCAAATCTATAGGAGAGACAGAGACCTTGGAGCTACTCGTTTGTTGGACCGACATGCATATTGTTGAGTTTGTGTACCGGTTTGCATCGGTTATGCTTGTTGTTATCTGGTTCAATGCTAAGGAAAAAGATGACCATGGCTTACTGTTGAAGCTTATGCTATTGTTCTGCTGCAGAAGGAAAAAAATGGTGCAGCACAAGCAAATATACGGTTTAAAAATCAGACTCAAGATGAATCAAGACTATGCTTTATTTCGTTATGACATATAGAGATCGAAATAGAAAAGGATTTGAGAGATTTTGATGCATCACCTTGAAGACGGATCTTCTAAGAGAACGTTTGTTTCCATTTGAAACTGAGATAGCAGCAGCAGCCTGTAGAGAAAATTTAAAATTTCATCGGATTAAAACTCTCTTCGGAGCCGAAATCGCTAATCGGCGGAAACACAAGCCTAAACCCAGATCAAAGATCATAAAACCCCAGGAGCAATAAATTTCAAAAAATTTCCCTCGTTTTCTCCGGAAACAGACAAGAGAACCTTAACCAAAATCAGAATCCCTAAAGAAAACAGAGTAATCAAAAATTGATCGCCCAGAATCACCAGTAGCAAGAGGGAAATAAACAATCGTTGACCGAAAATCGTGAAAATATATACCTGAGAAACAGCAGAGTGAGACATTGTTTTCGATCGGAGAGAAGATCGAGAGTCGTCAGAGTCTGATTGAAGCAAATAGTAATTTGAGGAGGAACTATAATCGATTGAGGAAGATGATGAAATAGGGTTTATAAATACAGTGAGCTACACGATGACGACGACGATCCTTTGAAACTCCTCAAAGGCCAAGCTCTCCTCTTCTCTTTTGGACTCCTCCAACTGACGCTGTGAGACTAATTAATTGATTTTCCTTCTAAGCTTTACATTGGATTAAATTAATTATATTGCTAATTTTTTCCAAAGAACCGAACCAATTTGGCAAAATCTTCGCAAACCGAACGAATTTTACTCCGGTTATGTTTTAATCGAAAGCCAAATTATTCATGTTTTGTTTTCCTCAATATTGTAGTCACTAGACAACATTTTATTTTAGAGAATCAATTGAGAAAATTATAAACAAACAAAAAAGAGAGACACGTCTACTACTTGGTATCATCGTTGTGAATCTGATCACAATTAACACACGAATTTTGTAATTTCGGGTAACCAAGGAAATAAACGAGAGCAGAAATGATCATCAAAGCGACGCCGGAGAGTCCACAAACCAAGCTGCCAACAACCAGCACGTGACTCATCACGTGATCATCATCGTCCCGACCTTTTGAGGACGTCGTCATCGGAGATTTCACCGCATTAGGCAATGTCGATGATGACGATGTGGACGTCGAAAGCTCATTTGAAGAAGGGGGTCCGAAGAATGACGTCATCTCCGATGATGACTCGCCGGGTTCGTAGTAGTACTCAAGGCCGTGATCAGACGGTCGTAACTCTCTAGCATCAATGACAATGACCACGATCATGGTCATGACTGAGATCAACGGTGGAAATAAAACTGTTCTGTGTGAAGCCATTTTGTTACTTGGAATTGGAGAGTTTTAGCTCCAAACTTACAAGTCCATCCCGTGAAGTGAAAAAGAGCTATTTGTATAAAAAAAAAATGCATCAATTGAGACGATGTCGTTTTTAAGTTTCCATCCCGTGAGGCGTGAACAAATGAAAACGCCTATCGTTGCTTTCTTTCTTTGTTTATTCCACGTCAACCAAGAACAGTTTCTCTCGACTCTCGTGCTTTGTCTGAACATGGTTTTAATTTTTAAATGATTTCTCGTGAATTTCTTTGTCGGAGATTGGCCCTAAATTTACGGGAAGTTCAAAAGAGTTCAGAAAAAAGGTCGACTGCAATACAATTACAACATTCAGATTTGACTTTGGATACGCATTTTATTGTATCAATCTATTAAGAAAGCCCATTTATCTTATAGACTCGGCCCAAATAGCCCACCAAAACGGTGAAGATAAGATAAGGTCCTGCCACGTCATCAATGGAACACAAAATCCCGCGCCTTTTCTTCTCCCATCTCTCCACTCACTTCTTCTTCTTCTTCCAATAAAAAATTCGACGACGCACAAATTTGAAATTCCAGATTCACCCTTCTCCGGGATGGCTAATTACTCTCGCCCCCACATCTGTCAGTGTTTGACTCGGCTAGCCTCCGTCAAACAAAACGCCGTCGTTACGATCTACGGCCACCGGAGGCGCACTGGCCGGGAGTTCGTCGCTGGGGTACTGAGCCTCGCCGAAGGACTGGTTCGGCTCGGTCTCCGAAACGGCGATGTCGTCTCTATTGCTGCGCTTAACAGGTCAAATTGCGTTAATTATCTATTGAGATTCCAATTTTGTTTTATAGATTCCAATTTGAACAAAGAAGTTAGGAGAAGAGCTTTTAATAATTGGCCGCCCCAATTTTGAATTTTGTGGATTTTGAGGTTATCATATTTTAAAGTGTTTTTTTGTTTTTTTTGTGTGGTTTCCAGTGATTTGTTCTTGGAGTGGTTATTGGCTGTTGCATTGGTAGGAGGAATAGTTGCTCCTTTGAATTACAGATGGGTCAGTAATCAGTTTTCTACATCTCGATTATTACATCGCTTTCGTATGTGAACAAAAAGAGAAATCTTGACAGATTTTTTGTGTTCTTAATTGATGTATTTTTGAGAAAGTGCAGAGCTTAAAAGAAGCAAAAATGGCAATGCTGCTAGTAGAACCAGTGCTCTTGGTCACCGATGAGTCATGTGTCTCATGGTGCATTGATTTAGTCGATATACCTTCCTTGAAATGGCGTGTGTTAATGGAGTCTACCTCAACAGAATTGGCAAATCAACATAATAAAAAATGTATGTTTTTGTTTACTTAACGGTTAAAAAGATAATACTGCTAGTGACCTGATTGTTTCCTTGTTACCGGAGCAGTTTTGACTACCGAGATGCTTAAACAGCACACGCTAGTTCCTTCTTTAGCAACCTACGCTTGGGCTCCTAATGATGCTGTTGTGATATGCTTCACTTCTGGTACAACAGGAAGGCCTAAGGGCGTGACGATAAGCCACTTGGCGTTTATCACACAGTCTCTAGCCAAGATTGCTATTGTTGGCTACGGTGAGGATGATGTACGCCTCTCTAATCACAATGAAATGAGTAGACCTGAATGATTCTGTTTCTGATAACTAAAAGAGTATCTTACATTTCTCTTCTGCAGGTTTATTTGCATACATCACCATTAGTTCATATAGGTGGTTTGTCATCAGCCATGGCTATGCTGATGGTTGGAGCTTGCCATGTTCTTCTGCCAAAATTTGACGCTGAAACAGCTCTTCAAGCTATGGAACGACACAGTGTGACTTGTTTCATCACAGTCCCAGCTATGATGGCTGATCTAATTCGTGTCAACAGGTAAACAAACGAGAGAAGTGAACAAAAATTCCTCATGATAAGTAGCAAATCTTGTTCTTGAAAACGTTGGTGACTCTATTTCTTTTTTTGTTTCCAAAAAAAGGACGAAGACAAATGGAGCTCAAAACATTGGTGTGAGAAAGATACTTAATGGAGCTGGATCTTTATCAAGCGAACTCCTAAAAGAAGCTGCACAAATCTTCCCAAGAGCAAGAATAATCTCAGCATATGGGATGACAGAGGCGTGCTCTTCGCTGACCTTCATGACACTCCATGATCCAACACAAGAGTCTTGTAAGGGGAAATTTCCTTTGGTTAAACGAATCAAGCAAGGCACGTGTGTTGGGAAGCCAGCGCCTCACATCGAAGTGATGGTTAAGCTTGATGATAATAAATCGAGGTTAGGGAAAATTCTAACTCGTGGACCACACACAATGCTTGGATATTGGGGTCATCAATCAGTTCAAGAAAAGGCTGCAACATCAGAAACCAGCAGCGATGGAGCTTGGCTTGATACAGGTGATATTGGAACCGTTGATGACTTTGGTAACTTATGGCTCATAGGTCGGTCCAACGGGCGAATCAAAACTGGAGGAGAGAATGTTTACCCTGAAGAGGTTAACTTCCAACGCAAGTAAATATAAGCATCTTTACATGGGACTGAATCCATTATTATATAATGCGGACAGGTAGAAGCTGTTCTGTTGGAGCATCCTGGGATTGTGTCTGCAGTGGTGATAGGTGTCATAGATGTTCGTCTTGGGGAAATGGTGGTTGGTTGTGTTCGTTTACAAGAGAATTGGATATGGTCTGATGTAGAAGACGAGCAGAACCGAGATTTCAAACTGTCTAGTGAGGCACTGAAGCGTTTTTGCAGAACACAGAATCTAACCGGGTATGAACCATTTTTTCCAATCGAGTAAAATTTTTTTTTTTTTTTTGGGGTTTAGTTTATGAAACGTATGAAATTTGGACAGGTTTAAGATTCCGAAGAGGTTTGTGCAATGGGAGAAGCAGTTTCCGTTGACAACAACTGGGAAAGTGAAAAGAGATGAAGTTCGAAGAGAAGTTGCGTCTCGTTTCGAAATCTTGACTAGCTCTCTCTAATAATTTCATTCTAAAAAAAAAACAGATCGCATTCCTGTCTGAGTAAAGATTGTTGGAGCAAAATGTGGATCTTGTCTTTTCAAGACTTTGATCAGAAGAGTTAGGCAAAAACGTGATATGAGGATTCTTTGTTTGGTTCTTGATAAAGCGTGTCAAGATTATTAAACCGAGAAAATTCCAGTTTTTTTTTGTTTCTTTCTTTTTGTTATATCTTCAATTTGTTAAACATCGATTTTGTTTTGTTAGAGCCGGTCAAGTTTATAAACATTGTAAATGGTTTACACTTGAATTAACAACACTATCAGTTTAACAAACTCGATCATAATAATCTAGTAAGAATGTCTTGTTCTCCAGTTGATAAGACAAAAGATAGATTCAGCAAGGGCATTTTCGTAAAATACAAATTCATTTAGTTTTCTCAATAAAAAGCTTTGTTCCTAACGCTCCCGCTCCGCTTCCCAAAGCAGTTTCTTTCTTAGGTCGATCCATCTTCTCTGCGTCTCCTTAATTAGAAATAGAAACCCTAATAATCTTTACAAGATGAAGAAGAAGACCCACCTCTGAAATTAGGACCCACCTTTATCTCCGACATAAATTTTCCGTCTTTTTCTCCGGGGGAAAAACCCCACACACGTCTGAGTTTGTAAGTCTGTTTTCTTCACTTTTATAGCGTTTGTCTATTTGAATTTCATCTCTTTTATAGTTTCTAAATTTGTTTGCTTAAGAAAGGGTAAAGTTACCTCTTTTTGTAATGATTTTAGTTTTAGATGATCCCGGTTCGTGTAATACTGTAATGTAAAGAAAGCTATTGGTTTTAACTTTTCCGGTTATATTGTAAATGCGTTTCTCATTACTGCTTACTACTTTCTCTGTTTCAGGGATTTTGCTTATGTATGAAGAGGTTATGATGAGTGATTACGCTAGGTTAGATTCTCCTGATCATGATGGATCAATCCTTATCAATACTGTCATTAAGAAGAATGAGAATCCGGATGTCGAATCTTTTGGTAAGAAAAGTTTGTTGCTTGAGAAGACTACAGAGATTGCTGGTTTGCGTCAAGAACTAGAGTTGATTTCAAAGTTGCTTACTGGTCATGCAAATGGGGACACTGATGGTTTACAACACAAAATCTCTGGAACCATTGTTTCAGCATCTTCAGTTTGGGATACAAATGGTAAGCAAAGAGGATCTGTGACGTCTACGCCTGAGAAGTCAGAGGATTTAACTCAGTTATCGCGTGAAGACTTGATCAAACACTTCAAGAGTGAGATGATTCAGTTGAAAAGAGAGCATGATTATACAATACAAGAGATGACTGAAGAATACTTTAGCATCAAGAGAAGGTGCTTGAATCTAGAGGAGCGTGGTTCGTTTTCTTGTTTGAAGAAAGACAAAGAGTTTGATGCGCTGCAGAAGAAGATCCCAGAGATCATTTCAAAGTTGGATAAGGTTTCATCAGAGGGTGATGAGAAGAGCCAATTGGACTCTCTGCTTATAGAAAACCTTCAGCTTAAAGATTCACTTGCAGAGGCTGATCAGAAGATCTCACAGCTTTCTCAAGTTGAGGAAAATCATTTAAAGTTGATCCAGAAGCTTGAATCAGATGTTGAGGATTCTCATGTTGAAGCTTCTATCTATTGGTCTGTTCTTGGAGAGTTTGTGAACCAGATTCAGTGTGCAAAAGAAGAATCCTCTGAGAGCAAGATTGATCTTGAAGACTCTTTTGTTGAGTCCTGCATGGCAGAAGAGTACTGCGCGGTGGTATACAAAGAAGCTTTGAAGGAAGCTGATAAGAGACTTGGATGTTTGAACAAGAATGTATCAGAGAAAGAAGATGCTTTGAGATCAGAAATGGCTGAGAAGGAAAGATTAAAAGAAGAGATTCATCGGCTGGAATGTCTTGTGAAGGAGAAGGAGGATTTAGTTCAGATAGCTGAGAATGATTTGGCTACAGAGAGGGAGAAACTTGAGATGGCCTCTCAACAGAGTAACAATCTTCAGTCTCAGATTGATCAGCAAGAAGTAGTGAAGATTATAGAGGGTTATGAGATGGAGATATCAGAGTTGAGACAGAAGCTTGAGCTAGTTGGGAAGAATATGAAGACAACCGAAAATGAGAAAGTGGAATCGGAGCTGAAGTTATCATCAGCAGAAGCAGAGCAAAAGAGACTTGAGAAACAGTTTGTATCGACGGCTCTAAGTCTTGATAAATGGAGTCAATGTTTCGATAATACCGAGTGCTTGGTAGCCGAAGAGATGAACAAAATAAATCTTAGGTACACTCAAATCTCTTGTGTCGTATAATGTTATGGCTAGACACAGTCGTATTTGATTTGACAGACACGAGAGTTTGTTGTTGACTTGTAGGTTGGAAAGTATGCAGAGGCATTTGAGTGATCTTTTAGATGAAGTTGATGGACTCAATGCAAGAGAATCAATGTACAAGCAACTAATGGAGAAGAAGACCTGTGACCTCCAAAAGGCTGAGACTGAGGTGAGTCTTCACAATTGATATTGATGACTTTGAAGCTTCTTTTAGCCCTTTGTTGTTGTTTTCTTTCGTTGACCACTTGGTAGTAGCATGATAATCCTTTTCATCTGGCTGCTTGAATCATAGGTTGATCTCCTTGGCGATGAAATCGAATCTCTCTTGGACCTTCTGAAGAAAATTTACATAGCTCTTGATCATTACTCACCAATTCTAAAGCATTACCCTGGCGTAAGCAAATCTTTCTTCCTCTCTCTCTGTCTCATAGTATTATATGAAGCTTGCATTGTATAGTATACTTTCATCAAACTTTTGTATCTTCATCTTCACAGATTATCGAGATCTTGAAGCTTGTCCGGAGAGAGTTAAAAGGAGAATCAAAAAGAGTATCAGTCTACTGACGAAATCGCATATGAACGAAATCTCTTTCACAAAAGTTTCATTGCATATCTGCTGTATAAATTCACATCCTCTGTCAATGTTTCTCTCTTCGTGGTTGGGTAGGTTATCTAGGTATATGTAGTAAGTTAGTAGCCAAAAAAGATAATCAATAGCAAGAATTGGGCGTGAAGATAGTTTTTTTTTTTTTTTTGTTCTAATGTACAAATGTACCAAAGCAAGAGAAAAAATATGTCACTAATCACACTATGGCATGCTTACAGATTCAAGAAACATTGATGTTTGACAACAAAGCAATATGTGACCGATGGCTTGTTAACTTGTTAAGAAGTTCATAGCCAACAATGCTGCTCCAACAGCTGGCTCTACCTGAAAATCCATATCAGTATATACTTACTTCAGTCGTTGGGAAAGAGAGAGAGAGAGAGAGAGAGAGAGAGAGTGAGTGAGAAGTAGAATGATGAACCTTTGGTATGATAGTTTGAGCCCCTGGAAAGTAACGGTTGATGCGGTTTGAGACTTCTTTTCCAATGTCCCATTTCTGGTTAGCGTTTAGGACACCGCCCACCATTACAACTGGGAAAGAAGCTGCCCCATCTGCAACGAGGAAAATAATTCTGACAGTATTAGGAAACTATGTGGTGAAAATTTGATAAAAAAAGAGTGTTGGATATGTGAATCCACCTTCGCCACATAAACCAAGTCTCTGTACAACAGCTTTAACGCTTACAGCTAAATCCTCAGCTGCATCAACCAAGATCTTATCTGAAATTTCATCACCAGCTTCTGCACAAGATACTACTTGAGGAACAAGAGCAGCAATGCGTGCCCATGATGGATCAGCGTAAGTCCACCTACATCCAGATACATTAGATTTAGCATTTTGACGTTTTGAGACCGACTCATTAGTTTGGAAGAGAAGGTACCCTATGAGTTCGTCTGGAGAGGAAAGTCCAAGTGCTTTTAAGATGGAACTTGTAAGCATCGTTTGTGGGCCACGACCATCGTGAGCTCTAATCACCGCCGTCAAGGCCTGTGCAGCAATTCCATAGCCACTGTAAATCATCACATCATCATTCACATAACTATCGGTTAAAGAATCTCTCAATACATTTATAAGTATGGCAAAGTCTATAGCTCGATCCCAGTTTTAGCTCATGCATCTCTGAAACCTTATAAGAGGTAAAACTGACATAAAACAAGGAATGGAAAGAGAACTACCTTCCCCAATCACCTAAGATTGGTCCAGCGCCAGATGCTCGAGCCTCCCTGCCATCTTCATCAAAACCATAGGCTATACATCCTGTACCGGCGATAAGAACACAGCCATGGAGCTTTCCCATGGTTCCACTGGCTAAAGCCACTATAGCATCATTCTGAACATACACCTTGACATGACTCGGAAACATTTCCCTGAAAAGCAAATTACGAGAATCGGTTAAGATCGAGAAAATTCACACCTGACACTCCTATAGCCATAAGTTTCACCTGACATGACTAGCACCTTATCCAATTTTCAATCTTTTTCTGGTCTGAGGGATGATTTACACCTGAAACACCTAAGCACACACCACGGACATCTGATTTATCTGAACCTGCTTGTACAAGTGCCTCAGAAATAACTTGCTCTAGTGAATCCCTTGCTGCAGTCTCTGCATACATTGAAAGTTGGCTTAAAAGAGTTGAATCTAAGTGGTGCCATAACTACATAAGGCAAAAGACTACTTGTGATCAAATCCAATTCCGATTCCAATTCCAATTCCAATTCCAGGATTAAACAAGCACGACAAGAATCAGCTAAGAAAATGCCACATTGCACTAGAATTTGGTTGAATTAAAGATAAAGAAAGCCAAACACTCCTTAGCAGATGTCAGAAGGATCAAAATCCACCGACAATTTCTATTGACCGGAGCTAAAATGATCGCACTTCAATAAAACCCAGAAAAGTCCTCCAACAATGAGCAATATTCAAAATTGGGGAGAGTGAGATGAGACGGAACCTCCAACGCTGTTGCAATTGGTTGAACCGGCGAGGGCTCTACCGAGGATTGGAAGAGGCTCCGGTAAACGATCGCCGTACGGAAAGAATGGGACGCACACGCACACAGTTGAGGTGGCGCCACCGTCGAGACCCAAGATGACACCAACTCCGAAGCCGTTATGGCACGATTTCTCCTCCGTTTCTTCTTCTCCGTCAGCTTCCAGCTTCCGAAGGTTTCCATTGCTGTGTGGATTCCTCATTAACCAATTAAAACCCTCCACCAACCCCAGGATCAGATCAAGGAAGACGGAGAAATGGGTCTTCGAGATTTGAGAAATTTCAGTGAAAAATTAGTACTTTTTCGATCGGAGATCAAGATTTGGATAGTGTTTATGTGTATCTTAATTTTCAACGAAAGAGATATGTCTCACGCTTGAAGTTGAATAAGCGCTGTAATTCACGATTTATTTTATTTATTTTCCAGGGGTTATCACAAACAAACAAAAGTTTCAATGTATAAAAGGAAACAATGATATATTTCCATTTTTTTTGCAGAAAAACAAAACACAATTTCATCAGAAGAAAAAAAACCACAAACATATTTCCTTTTTCTCTTTGGGGAAACAATATATTTCCAAATCATGTTACGACAACGAAGAAAACAACCGACTCAAAATCCTTTAAATATACATGGCATCGGTTCACAACTTTGTATTCATTCATTCTCCACATCACATCAAATCACGTACCCTAATTCCTAGTTTTTACATCATCAATCTCCACAAAGAACTAATCATGTCAACGTTGGCGAAGAACATTGTATTAAGGAGCGCAGATGACAAAATCTTCGAGGTTGAAGAAGCTGTGGCTCTCCAGTCGCAGACCATAGCTCACATGATCGAAGATGACTGCGTCCAAAACGGAGTCCCTCTTGCTAACGTCGACGGCGCTATCCTCGCCATTGTGATCGAGTACTGCAAGAAACACGTCCCTGTCGTCGTCCCCGATGGTGGTGAAGGTGATTCGTCTTCTTCTTCTTCTTCCTCCGAAGAGGAGCTCAAGAAGTGGGACGCTGACTTTATGAGCCAGGTGGATGATCCGACGCTCTTTAGCCTTATTCTGGCTGCTAACTATCTGGACATCAAAAATCTTCTTGGTCTTGCTTGTGACACGGTCGCTAATATGGTCAAAGATAGAACTGTCGAAGAGGTTCGTGATTTCTTCAGCGTCACGAACGATTTCACACCCGAAGAAGAAGCAACGGTTCGCGGAGAAAACAATTGGGGTTATGAAACATGATCATGTACACACCGTTGTGGCCTCTCTGTTACTTTTTTGTTCATGATCATGTTTGTCTTTGTTTTCTTTTATTTTAATTAATAAAAGAGTTTACCTCTTCATCAAAGTAGATTTTGTCTTTGACAAATTGAAATCACAAGGAAGACATAAAGTTAAGTCACAACTAAACCTTTTACTTGTTACCCAAGAAATCAATGTGTTAATTTTAAAAGAAGTCTCTTCAAGAAATTACACAATCATAAGACCAGATAATGAATTACAGGAGTCAGTTTCTCTATTTGCCAGATGCAGAAAGATAGTTCAAAATATCTAAACTAAACCGCATTGTAACTAAAATAAGCCGTAATTGCTTTCAATCTGCCTCCAACACAGTTTTCTTCAATCTGAAACCACAAATCAAGAAACCAGAGTGTTGCAATCAAATCAGCTCTCCTATTTGTTCTTCTTCTTCTTGACAAGTGCTGCGTTTTAAGTTAAGTTAAAGTACCTCGAGAGTAAGAGGAGGCGAGGAGAGCCAAGCTAGCTCTTCTAATTGATCTAAATCAACGTTTCTAGGTAGAAACATTATGATGTTTGGCGTTATGGACTGTGCAATCTGAAACAATGAGTACCTTTCCACAAACACTTCATCAAACGATCATGGAGCACAAAAATGTACAGATGTAACTAATGTTATTACCCGTCTATTGGTTGGAGCATATCCATCTTGAAGCTCTCAACTTTGTTATACATTGGACCTCCCCATGGTGGCGACAGAAACAATACATCTCCCTAGAAACCAAGACATGAGTTGATTCATTAGTACCAAGAGCAAAAAGGGTCAAGAGGAATCTCTAATTTTGCAGATAAAAGAGATTACTTTGAGAGATGGAGCTAATTTGATGAAATCACCAACGACAAAATCCACATTATCAGCTACTCCATAAACCATTGCATTGTTGATTGCCAATTCGACCTTTTTCGGATCAATGTCGATAGCAATTACAGATGAACATCTACAAAAGAATGAAACTTTGGTTTAGAAATCATCACACAAACCCAGTAGTGATACTTGTTTTTGAGCTTCTTACACTTTAGCAAATTGGATAGTGTTGCCGCCAACGCCTGAGAAGCAATCGATGACGACTTTGCCACGACATCTCTCAGCTTGTTTGATGGCGATTTCTTCAGGAGTCACAGAGTACCACCCTTCTTCATCCATTTCGATACCTTCGTCATATCTCGAGAAGAGGTCGTAACGCTGAATCCAGTACTTTTTCACCTTAGGGCTCGTGCCATTGTCTCTCTCTATCGACGAATTTCTTATCCCTGAGTAACGGAAGACTCAATTAGGGTTTTTCCATCGGAGAAGACAACAGGAAAAGTTCAAAAACTGGATTACGTCGCACTAGATTTATGTCGAGGGATCGAAAATTGAGCAGCGAGTGTTACCTTTCTTCGAGCGCGATCGTTTTTTGAGCTGCATCAGTCTCGTGAATTGAAAAGAGTCAAGCCAAGTCGTGTTTCGACGCCGGTTAAAAACTGAAAAACCCTTCGACGACGGTCCAAGAACAAATATTTCTCCGGGAAATCGAAATGTTCGGTTTACGAAAATAGCCGGTTTTCGTAATTATTTTGAGTGGTTTGGTTTATAACGTAATTCCTGACCGGTCTAATCACAAAAAAGAAAAGAAAGAAAAATGTTAAAAAAAATGCGGTGAGCGTGGATCGAACACGCGACCTTCAGATCTTCAGTCTGACGCTCTCCCAACTGAGCTATCCCCGCTTGATGTTAAACTACTTTATAATATAAATGATTAAGCTGATTAATTATTCCAGTCGCAAAGTAAACTAATGATAAGATTACACTTCTAAAAACTGAACTTACTGAAGGATAGAACGAGTTTCAAATGTCCTTAAGAATTATAAATCAGAATTAACAAAAATGAAACATCTCTTCAAGAAATCATAATAGTTTAGGAAATGGATGGCAAAAGTCAAGTCCTCCAACTAATGATGATAGAACGAGTTTTAAGTGTCTTTAAGAATCATAAATCAAAATTAACAAAAATGAAACATCTCTTCAAGAAATCATAAAAATTTAGGACATGGATGACAAAAGTAAATTCATATGTTTCGGACGCAGAAATATAGTTCCTTTGATGCCACCAATGGTTCCAAATTCGCAACTAAACCGCATTGCAACTAAAATAAGCTGTTATGGCTATGAGTTTGCCTCCAACATAGTTTTCTTCTATCTGAAATGAAAAATCACAACATGTGAGTAAAAAGAGTTTTGGCAATAAAAATTAGCTCTCATTTAGTGCTCTTTTTTTTTTATTCAGTGTTTGTGTTAAGTAAATAAGTACCTCAAGAGTTAGAGGAGGCGACGAGAGGCAAGCGAGTTCTTCAAGTTGTGCTATATCAACATTTTTCGGTAGAAATATTATGATATTAGACGTAATGGACTGCGCAATCTTAAACAGTGTGTACCTTGAGAAGAAAAAATAAACAACTTCATTAAGCATATATTATTGAAACACATTACACATCAATGAGTTAGATTAATCTATTGTTACCCGTCTATTGGTTGGAGCATATCCAGCTTGAAGCTCTCGACTTGGGAATACGTTGGTCCTCCCCACGGTGGCGAAAGAAACAACACATCTCCCTAGCAAAAATGTCGATATGCAACTTGTAGATGAGCTCAACAACAAAAATGGTCAAAAAAAAAAAGAGTGGATAGAGAAAAGAAGATTACTTTGAGAGATGGAGCCAAGTGGATGAAATCACCAACGACATAATCCACATTATTAGCAACACCGTAAACCATTGCATTGTTAATAGCCATCTCTATTCTCACTGGATCAATGTCAATAGCAATGACAGAAGAACATCTATAAAAACATGAAAAAAAAAAATGATTTAATAAACAAACTCACAAGTCACAACCATTTTTATCATACTTCATTACTTTTTCTTACACTTTAGCAAATTGGATAGTGTTACCACCAACGCCTGAGAAGCAATCAATCACCACTTTGCCACGACATCTCTCAGCTTGTTTGATCGGGATTTCTTCAGGAGTCACAGAGTACCATCCTTCTTCATCCATTTTGATACCTTCGTCATACTTTGAGAAGAGAACGTAACGTTGAATCCAGTACCTACTGATCTTAGGATTCGTACCATTCTCTTCCTCCATCGATAGACTCACATCTTTAGGAAACAAATTAACAAGAGATAACTTATTTAACCACTAACAAAACAAAACAAAACAAAAATCAATATTGGCAAGTTTATGGAAGCCAATGTACCTTTGTTCAAGCTTGATTGTTTTTCGATCTCCATTGATCTCGTGTTGAGTCAAAAAAGTCAACTCGTGTTTTTAACTCCACTCCCTCCTTGTGATGGTCCGACAATAGAGAGAGGAATGGTTCGAATCTCCCGGATATCAAAATATTCGGGTTTATATTTTTAAACTCAATTCTCGACCGGTTTGGGAATAACCAGACCGACTGGAAGAAAACATTCATTAGAATAATGCAACAATAAAATAAAATTAAACATAAGCTGTGGATTGCAATCTCTTAACAGTAAAAGGCACCTCACTTGATAGATACAAAGCATGAGATAGCAGCAAATCACAAAAGTCAAAATACATTAATTGTTCCATATTTGAATCTTTCAAGAAGCTGAGTTGGTAATCTTTCATAAGATAGATAATACAAAATTAAAATTTCCTTTCAAAGACTATAAGTTTATAACTAAGAACAAGCTCTTCAGTCTGTAGTTCATCTGCTTCCTTTTTCAAGAAAAATTATATAAGCCTTAGGGTATATTCCATTTTACTAACGGATATTTGTTGTTTCTAGTCTTTTTTGTTCCTCCTCTAATAAAATCTGATTTCATCATTTGAAATGTTCTCCAATGGTTACTTCTGGTTTAACCGTATGTGCGTACATGTTGTGAAGTCTAAACTTGAAAAAGTGGATGGATAGTAAAGTCAAACATATGAACCAAAAGTCAAACTAATAAAATACATCAAATAGACCCCAAGATTAAGTAATTTTAACTTAGTCACTCTCACGTCCTTAACCTATTTAAATACTGCTTCTTTCCTTACAAAATCTTCCAAAGCATTAAGTTGCAGAAAGAAAAAAAACCAGAGAAGGGAGGAGAAAGAGATTTGTTTTTCTCTTCTCTTCGAAATTTCAAAGGTGATTCAAATTCTTTGATATATTATTTTTCTTTTACTGTTTATAAGAGATGATAAAGAATCAATCTCAACGTTAAGATCGTTCTTAAAATGTCTTGTTTGTTCTGTCTTTTTGACTTTTTCTTGTCTTGATCTCATTTTCAGGTTTTGGCCGCTAAAGAAACCAAGATGGCGTCTTGGACTTCATCTGAATTCCTCTACGTAGAGATAAAACCACCAGGTATCCGTTTCCTAGAACGTTTTAAGCGTTCAGGGAAACTCTCTTTCAAGCAATACCAAGCACTGGTCTTCGTCTTGACCTTCATCGCCTACCTTGCCTTCCACGCAACTCGAAAACCTAACAGCATCGTCAAAGGAACGCTCTCGAAACCATCAACGGGACATTTCAAGTCCACGGAAAATAGCGGATGGGCTCCTTTCGATGGTCCAGACGGAACAGCTTTGCTCGGACAAATCGATCTGGCTTTCCTCTCTGTTTACGCGGTTGGAATGTTCGTCGCTGGTCATTTAGGTGATCGTTTGGACCTCAGGACGTTTCTAACAATCGGTATGATCGGTACAGGAGTGTTCACCGCTCTGTTTGGGGTTGCCTTTTGGGCTAACATCCATAGTTTCTACTACTTCCTAGCGATCCAGACACTGGCTGGGTGGTTCCAGTCTATCGGATGGCCTTGTGTGGTTGCGGTTTTGGGGAATTGGTTTGATAAGAAGAGGAGAGGAGTGATTATGGGTGTGTGGAGTGCTCACACGTCGATAGGGAACATCGTTGGTTCTTTGATCGCGACAGGACTTTTGAAGTTCGGTTGGGGATGGTCTTTTGTTGGTCCTGCCTTGCTCATCACGTTTCTTGGCATTGTGGTTTACTTGTTCTTGCCTGTGAACCCTCCTGCTGTGGAAGCTGAGAGAGATGGAACTGAAGTTGATTCAACGATGAGGCTCGGTGACACCATTACAGAGAGCTTCTTGAGCTCTAGGATGAGTACTACTGGATTCGACAGAAGAGCTGTAGGGTTCTTAGCCGCTTGGAAGATCCCTGGTGTTGCTCCTTTTGCGTTTTGTCTCTTCTTCACGAAACTTGTGTCTTACACTTTCCTCTATTGGCTTCCTTTCTACGTAAGCCAGACTGAGATCGGAGGAGAGCATTTGTCACAAGAGACATCAGGAAACTTATCGACGTTATTTGATGTTGGAGGTGTTGTTGGAGGGATCTTGGCTGGCTATTTCTCTGACCAGCTCGAAGGGAGAGCAATCACAGCCGGAGGATTCATCTACTTGACAATTCCAGCTCTGTTTCTTTACAGAACCTATGGTCATGTCTCGATGACAATCAATATCATCCTTATGTTCA